TGTCTATTTCATAACCTTGCACAAAATGCAATCTCCCATCACAACAAAAGATGAAATGCCGCTGTGGGGAGTTTCTATTGAATGTTATAAAAAAGACTAAATGATCCATGATTTTCTCGTGAATCTCAAATAACAAATGAATTTTTGAAAGAATAGCCATCCCATTACTAATAATAGAAACTAATAATTCTTAAAACCGTTAATTTTTAATTTTCAGATGTGTTTTGGCGATCTGCGAGCAAAGATGTCAGGATATTTTGTAAATAGAAACATATTTACAATGTAAATGTATATTCTACCATAAATTATCTTTGTTGCGGCCTAGTATTTTTTGCGTTTGTTATATGCTTTTTTTTTAAATCTAACTGAATGGTTTCTGTCATCTACAGTGGCATATCTAGGGGTGTGCTTTTCATACCCATATCTTTGTCAAGTATTCATTCACTAATACATATATGTATTGTGCAAATATGGCTTCAAATTATCAACATAAAAAAATATGTTTAAAACAGTTACTTGCTTTGCTATAATATAAAGGATATTGGTAAATACTCTTGCGATAATCTACTCATGCCAATAACACTGTATCATCATACATAAGTCTAATGTATTCCAATTCTCTAAAGCAATGTTTTTCCTAGTAAAAGTTTGCAATTTGTTAATTTCCCTTTTGGTCATATAGTTTACGTATTAATATATCACTGGCTTTCATTTGATTGGGTATGAGCGTTTCTGGTGAACTTAAATTCAAAAAGCGCTTCTGACGCAAGAAATTTATAATGCGTTATTACAAAAAAAAAAACAAACATGTCACTTTTACGATGTTAATTTCATCTTTTGGCGCACACAAAAAAAGTAATTGTAGTATCATCATTACTTTCAATTATAAAATATATAATAACATAGTATATTGACTATTAACCAAACTTGTCCATAAAACTATAATAGCTAACACAAAACATTAACTACAGTCAAAATAAATCATATGATAAAGCAGGAAACATATTATTTGTATGGCTTTACATGTTTCCATGTATAAAAGTCTAATTTTACTTAGAAATCGTTAAATATAGTCAGTACGGTATTTTAACTTGTTTTACATTTATATTGATTTTTAAGAGCGGTTTACTGTAAGGTTTTACTTTCGAATTAAGTCGGGCTTGAACGTTTTTGAAAAATATTGAATTCTATGTTAATATATATGTTTCATTTATGCAATATAAATGGTTGGTCATGATAAGCCGGATCAGCAGAATGTGACGGGTAGACATTCGGTCTTACTTTTTCCAGTTTCTTTTTAATCTGGGGGTGGGTGATTTGTTGTTTGTTGTCGTTTTTCTTATAATCGAATTTAAAATAAATGATAGCTTGTCTGTAAAAATTACTGTAGTTCTTACAACAGATCAGAACAAAACCGCTAACGTACGCATAACAAACCAATATTTTATTATCGACTGTATATATACATGATATGTACTAGCCAAAAAAAAAAAAAAAAGAAACGATACCTAATCTTTTTACATAATAATTTTTATTTCCAAAAAATTATGTATTTCCACTAGCTGTATGTTCGAAAACAGTCATAAATCTCTATGTTACTGTACTGGTGTTTTTGTTTTACCGGAAAATAACGTCACTTTTGCGTATTTTTGAATTTTGAGGGAAACCGCATTTATGTCGTCCGAACACGGGTTTTAAATTTAATGATGGTGATTAAATATCTGGTAAACACAGGTAAACAAAAAGTGATTGAATATATCCAAAAAAGCCTGTTTCATATGCCTGGTCTGCTAAAATGAGCCTGATAGAGCAGTGGGAATGGTACAACCATGTTTGCGTCATATTGACGTCGTAAACAACTTTGGTGTTTTAAAATTGACAATAACACGATTAATGAGACCGTCGAATAAGATCCACTCATCTCAGGGATCGTTTTTTGCCAGCTACAATTACTGCAAGAACAACACCTGGGAGGCATAATCAAAGAATATCCGCCCAAACTTTTCGTAATAGGCTAAGAGAGGCTAGATTGCAATCACGACGTCCATTAGTTGGAGCCATTCTAAAACAAAGCCACTGATCTGCACGCCTACGTTTGGCAAACGCACGTTTGTATTGGAACCGTGTCAGGTGACAAAACGTCATCTTTAGTGATGAGTCAAGATTTCGGTTACGTAAAAGTGATGGCAGAATGAGAGTTTGCAGACGCCAAAATGAACGTTATGCAGATGCATATGTGCATAAATGCCTGATCGCTTTGGTTGGTGTTATATGATGGCTTGGATAGGAATCACGCATTGTGGTCGCACTGACTTGAAGTTTATCAACGGAAGTCTAGATGGAGTTCGTTATCGTGACGAAATTCTCTCTTCAATTGTCCAACCATTCATTGCAAGGCATGCATGGAAATCGGCATACTTTTCAACAGGACAATGATAGGTACCCCGTGGCACGTGTATACACACAATATCGTGGGCAGAATAACACTGACATTCTTCCATGGCCAGCTTTATCGCTAGATCTATCACCAATTTAATATTTATGGGATGAACTTGACAAAACGTGGACGCAGACGTAATCAGCCTTTTGAGTCGCATTTCTGGAAGAGTGGAATAACATTCAACAAGCATTTATTAAACATTTAGTTGGATCAATCCGTCGTAGATTGACTGATGTTATCAACGCAAGAGGTGGTCATACGCGATATTAACTCTTCAACTTTTGGTTTCGACAACGACATATTCAAACATTCCGTGCAATAATGAAAATTAGTTGTGATCTGTTATCTTCGTTTTGTTTGTATGCTTTTATGTTATTGTTCTATAAAATACAAAACTAAAATAACATTGTTGAAAAGTAAAAAAAATATATTTGATAAAATCTGAGTATTGTTTCTTTTTGTGGCTAGTATAGTTTTATTGAACGACTGCAAACAACAATGCAATACTTCCTTTGTGACTTTTGGCTTTGGTGGTCAAGTGGGTTAAGCTATCACCAGGCTAATGTTGTGAGTTCGAACCCTGCTTGTGACTAGGTATATGTATGTTCGATTCCACTCTTAATCTACAAGATTTGCTAGTTATTTTTCTGTGAAAGGTTGTTGCTAGGTTCTCACCAGGTATTTCGCCTCCTCCTCCAATAAACATTGGTCGCCATGATATAGCCAAAGTTACTGAAAGTGGCATTTAACACAAAGAGACAAACTAACAACACTAACTGGGTTTCATGTCTTATGAACATGAAACAATGGTTCACGCAAAGATTCCTTTTTATATATTATTCCTGAAATAAACTAAAAACAAGACAGATTATAAAATAGAATATTATTCCGTAAGGTCTTACAATAAGGAACAACACTATAAGCAACTGGAACAACTAGGAACATTTAAAATGAGAGACAGTGATCCAATGGAATGCACAATCTTTAACAGGAAATATAAGCAGACCTGTTTTAAATCGGAAAGGGGATGACATAAAAGGCTAGATTGCATTAAAACCTAGATTTCCAATGACAAATCTTCTTCAAATAATACATGATATACTATTCTCTTTTATGACGAATGTTTTATCTCAAAAATATCCACATACCTAATGACGATTTTTGAATTGCATCCGATCTGTATATTTATATTCTACAACCTATTTAAAATTCTATAAGAAATACACCGAATTTAACATAGACTTCATACTTCTTTAACACTCCGGGAATGATTAATTTCGAATCAATTTAGAAACAGTTTATTTCCTGTTATTATACTGGAACAATCTATTCACACATTTCGGACTTTTATGAAAATGTGTGATTTAATCGCTCCTATTTGCATACTACAACGTATTAACTGTTTGAAAAAGCCATAAAGTGTAATATTTTTTTTTCAATAACCTCCGATTGTAAATGATGTTAAGTCTGGTCACCATGGTCTATTAAAAAAAAAACAAATTGTCACAAAATTCATTTGTAGCTACAGGAATCACAAACTATTTTTTTTTGCTGTACAGTATTGTACAGTTTTAAAAAAAGTTTAAGTATTTAGTTCAATTTTTTTTTTTTTTACTAATACATCATACAATTCTGGACATTTATAACTTGAAACTATAACTTTCAACAGTTTATTTTGTTTGAGAAATGCACACATCTTAAAAGAGTAGTGTCAATTTCCAATGTTACCAACGACAACCATTGACGAGATTCCTTACAGGAGTGGAAAAAAAAATGTTCTCCCTGTATTAAATGAGCATTTTTCAGTTTAAGTAAAATATTTCTAGAGGATATCCTATCCGGTGTATCTCTTTTAATAATTATTGACACTTAATTCACAGTACGTGCATGAAGTCTGGTGATGAAATTAAAAATATATACAAAAAGTACATGTATGAAGACAGTTATTTCAAGTATTGTTAATTTACTAGAGGTATAATTCCTTTGAATCCTACGCATACGAACACATATTTATCCATTCACTGCTTCGCGAAATTAAAGTCTCTGTCTGGTGCATACAATTCATAAATAGTAATGTTGATCAAGTATACAATCTTTAGGATTGATCAAGTTACAATGTTTAACGGTGTTGTCGTACGGATCTATACCCACAATGTCTTTGCCACCTGCGAGGGTTAAATGTGTAGATACTAAAACAATGTCCAATTCAAACAAACACTTGATTGAACCATATAATCATCATCATATCTATTTAAATGTAGTTAGACCAAAATAGTGTATTGTTTTTATTAGTGAACAATACAATTGTACAAAATATTTCGGCAGTCCACCAGATGATCGTTCGAACAAGAGGAAGTTAAGCAAAGTAACCGGATACCTTTCTGCGAGTCATAACCGAATGACCACTCCGTTGTTCCTTCATCAGTACAAATCTAACTAACACCTTGAACTTCAATTGATGTATGAATCAATGGAGAGTTTCATAACCAAAACGAGACTAAAGCAATGTAGAACAGTCAAATAAAAAAACTCACATAGCCTAAGAAAATTCAAGAAATGCAACCGTATTATATCTTTATTTTCACAATTACAATATTTATCATTGATAATAACAATAACAAAATGGTGACAATATTAAAAAACAATAATACAAAATATGATAATAATAATTAATAGATAATGAAAATGGTGTGATTGTCGTCATCATAACTGTTTAATGTTTATTGTATAAAAACATGGTGTTAGCTTGAATCAGGTAGTGTCTCTTTAGAATTGATTCAAGTTTATCCCGTGCCTTCTATATCTAACTATACGGTGTGTGTTTTCTTATTGGTAAAGTTTTATTTTTTTTGTTTTTGGAGAATATCTGTCTTATGACGTTGCGTTCCCGAGGGTATCACCAGCCCAGTAGTCAGCACTTCGATGTTGACATGAATATCAATTATATGGTCATTTTTATAAATAAACAGTGTGCAAAAAACTGAATTATTCGAAATACTAAGGATTTTCTTACCCCCAGCATAGATTATCTTAGCCGTATTTGGCACAACTTTTTGGAATATTGGGTCCTCAATGCTCTTCAACTTTTTACTTGTTTGGCTTTCTAACTATTTTGATCTGAGCGTCACTGATGAGTCTTATGTAGACGAAACGCGCGTCTGGCGTATCAAATTATAAGCCTCGTACCTTTGATAACTATTACGGGCAATCATATCATGTGCACATTTCCTTATTTAATTCGTATAACAAATACCGAAATATTCTAGACTGAACAGATACTCTTTTTTTTGAAAAACAAAATAAATAAATATTGAGTGAGTGGTAGTAAATCAAAGTAGAACAGAACGATTGTTGTTGCTGCTTTGGAATGTTTCTTCCTCTATCTTCATCTTATTCATATACTTAAAAAGCCAAAGGTGTTAGTAAACTCATTATAGAAACCAGGATGACTTGCGTTTCGTCTACAAAAGACTCATCAGCGATGACGCTTGAATAAAAAAAGTTAAAAGGATCAAATGAAGTACAAAGTTGAGGAGGATTGAGGATACAAAATTCCGACATTTTTTGGCCAAACACAGCTAATTAAATTATATATTGGGGAGCATTGTGACGAAAGGGGTTCTATGTTATCAAAGGGGATAGTCAAACCCATCCAAGATAAAACTGTATTTGTAAGGTTCAAGTCGTAATTGTTTTTAATATAAAACTTTTCTCTAGAGAATTTCTTAAATATCAGTAAGAATTCAAGTCTGAAAAAATAATACATGTAATAAATATGTAAGTGGAGTCAGTCAACATTAATATGAAGGGTCGGAAAATGTACGTTTTACCAGTTTGTATGATTAAAAAAATACGAGACTCTAAAAGCAGACGTAAGACTTATATACTCACTCATATTGTAAATAATGCATCATAAAAATGAGATCTGTATACATATTTCCACCTCACATTTTAAAAAACATTCTATGAAATTCTTCGATATTCAACTCAAACTGGTAATAAACATGAATATAAAAGAATAACATTTTGTATATATATATATGTATATATATATGTGTGTTCATATACATGTCCAGTAAAAAACGGGTATAGTTTATGCATTTGCATACAGTGTTTCTTGTGAATCTCTCTCAAGCAATACTTTGATACACTTGTAACAATACTCGTACTGATCCTGAAATACAAAAAAAGGAACATGTAACAGAAGATTCTTCAATGTTCGTAATCATCATGTATAATTGATACCAAAAAAGAGAGTGAAACGTTACAGCCATTACAAATACAAAAAAAAGTCTCAGCAAAAAACAAAAAAACAAATAGCAAAAAAAAAAAACAAAAAAAAACAGCAATTAATTACTAGACTATATTGTTATGTTCTCTCTTAGTTTGAAAAGTGCATTATGCAAACTTACATATTCCAAAATGAATTCGGGTCGCCTTATTTGTATTGTTCTTACTACTTGGAAAATATCAACTTCGTCATCAATCTGCAGTTTTTCTAAGACCATCCTAAGTGCAACAAATAATCCACTCTTTCTACAGCCATCTCTGAAATAGTGCAAGTTACAACTTTAAAAAACACTTTTGCGCAATAGATGCTAGTCAGACATAGCAATATTCACAGTGCTTCATTTGATATCTGGGTTCAGAAAAGGGTTATCTAATTTTTGCTGTCTAAAATTTTGTCCAGCAACTTATCTTCCTCTTTTTCTATGTCTTCGAATGTTTTGTTTTCTCCTGGGTTTTCGTCTTAATCATATTTTATAACTGTGTTATAGATACTTAGGATTTGGTTTCTATATTAAAATATCTTACAAAACTTATCAAGTGAAATATAAGCAAACCAGAATGATGAACCTTTAGTTAACAATATCATGCAAAATAACAAGCGCATCATTTAAACATAGAAGAAAATTTCAAAATTTACAATTTTCGACAACGTACCTACAAACTACAGTTATCGGACATTTCTGCTTTTCCCAACAATTGACTACACGTTGAATAAGATCCAACATACATTCGGGCGACGGTGGCACATCAGTATTTATGGTCCAATCATCAACGGTAAAAACGTTTATTGATCGTTTTTCTCTATTTCTCTGTAAATTCAAATAACTAAAGTATACAATTATTTTTATAGATAGAAAATGTTAAGAGTTGTAGAAATATGAACCTAACATCTTTTTTTATTTTGTTATCTGTTGGTATTAAGGATGTATTCCTCTGACGTTTCAGTCTCGTCGAAATCTCGTTCCGGAATTATTTCCAAAACATGTAATAAAGAAGAAAATATCAATGAATTTAAAAAAAATTATAATCAAACTTAACTCTGTGAAAAAATTGTGGATTTACAATAAGTAGTTTTGAGTAATAAAATTTTCAAATTTTATAACCAATCAAGTCAGTCTCATTAGCCAAAATGTTGAGAAAATGGTTGAGGGGTACAAGAAATGAGTTTACCAGAAACATGTACATCCCAGTTCAATTTTTTCTTTTCAAATTTCTTAGATATGTATTTTTTCAATCGTTTATAACAAAGAAGTTGAAATAATATGCTTTTTGTTCTAAAAAAAGAGAAAAATCCCAAATTTACAAAATAGACAGCATGGTAAATTTGACACGAAAAAGCAACAAAATTTTATAAAATTTTCTTATATTAAAACCTACCTATAGTTTTTTTAAGTTAAATTTATTCAGATTGGTCCACTTCATCATAAGTGAAAGTACGAAAACAAGTTTAATTGTGAAACTGTGATTTTTTCATGATAATAGCCCAAAAATGGGTAAGAATTGATGAAAAATGGGAAAATCATCAAAATTGGGTACTTTCAAATGGCCGTAGTAAATAAAGAAGTGCACTACCATATGATTTTTTCTTCCCCAATTATTTTTTTACAGTCATATAAACCCAAAAATCAGGTTAAGAAAAAAAGTTTAATTCTAGAAATTTTTGGCTTCTCAGAGGTGTACATCCTTAAGAAGATTGACACAATGGATGCAACTACTCATCTCTTCAGTCGCATTTTTATTATAGTTTATCTGTTTAAAAAAAACTAGACATTAAGACAAAGTTATTGTTATAAATACTTTATCTTCATTTAAAAGTGCATGGTCAATGTAATAAAAAGAATAACTAATCCAAGAATTAAAATATTCAACACGTGAACGAACAAAACTGATAACTAACTCTACGCGCATTCTTGAATTAATGTGTTGTTCAGTCGCTCGTTGAATATTTTTCTACATTGGAATTTTTGGATAAGTTAACGAAATTCTATAGTTATCAAACTTTAAAGATGTTTTTAGAAACTTACCTTCATTTCAGATTTAAACAAGAATAATCGAAGCCATTATAACTGTAATGTACACAATGAAAGTTTACACTACATGCATTTAATTAAATTAATTTCTTTTTTTCTTTTTGTTCTTTTATTTTTTGAAATTATTACTTCCAAAAATATAAACCCTTTGGATTTTGTTTAATTTATCAAACAATAACGCTTCTACAAAGTTATTACGTACCTGCCTTTTGAGTAAAACACAGAATAAATCACCCTCACCTTGTGATTTAAGATGAAGTGCAGCTCGTCGATCGCCTTTTCTCTTTCTTGATATATACTAAAGTTGTCAAATTCTAGCATTTCTTTCTTCTCTAACCATAGTGGAGCATCCTGATAAAATATGAATTTATGGAACTCTAAAACCTCAAAACTGTAAAACCAATCTAAACTTTTATTTTCAATAGGTTTTGAAGGCCGTCATGAACCAACTACTGTTCATTCATGAGCTTAGTGCTTCCAGCATTTGCATACACCAAACGTGCATGTTCTACATTGTCGAATCTACAATACTGCGGTAAAGGGTGCATTTTTACTGTAAACTTTGCTGAAGGAATTTGATATATCAAAATTGCCGACTGATTTGTACAGCTTGGTCTTATATTAAACTGTTACATCGCTTTCCAATTTGTTCTGTCACAAATCAGGAGTCTGTAATCCAGCAGTCGTATGTTGCTGTATGTATACGTTTATTGTTTTTAGCATAAACTAGGCTGTTGGTATCTTCATTTATTTCATTTTGTCATGCCGGGGTTTTACAGTATGTGTTTTGCTCATTGTTGAAGGCCAATAGTGACCTGTAGTTGTTCACATCTTTGTTTTGTTAGTCTCTGGTGGATATTTGTCTCATATGAAATCATACCATATCTCTTTCGGTTATTATCATCCACTATCCCAAGCTCTAAAACACCATTGGTCTAAAGCGGATATGAATAGATTAAAACAGACTATCGAAAATCTGTCATCAACCACAAGTTACTTAAATGACAATGTCTGTTTATCAATAGATGAGAAAAGACAACCACTATGCATGGGTCATATTGCAAACCTGGCTAGTTTCAATCAGTGTATGAACAAAAAGTAAATCAAAGAACATACACATATAAAAAAAAACCAGCACAGAAAAAAGCACTTAACTTTCAACTAAGGGTATTAAATATAGCAAAGGCGTCTTGATGACAGTGAAGGTTACCTATTTATTGTGACGAACCATGATTGAAGTATTTAGTTAGAATAAATCGTCATTCATATTTCAAACTAAAAATGCCGTCCAAAATCCTACAAAATGATGTTAGACATAAATGCAATCAGACACACGAATTAGTCATTATTGTAGTGCTATGTTTTTTTTCAGAATTTACAAAAAATAAAGATTGTACATTCATTGTACGTATGATACATGTAACTGCGTATTTAACGATTTCTTGTCCTTGAAAGTTAATTTTCGTACACTTGTTACTTTATTGGGTATATTAGTGTGTGAAACACCCTCGTCCGGTCCTCTAAGTTACATAAGTATTTTATGCTAAAATCGACCCAAGTGTACTGCTTACCTCATTTACTGGATCCAGTAAAACAATAATATCGGACCTATGGTCATATATCATAGTCCAAAAATCAACAGCAGTTTCCATCAATGGATACTGTGTTACAAAGAATTTGCTGTCAGCTGAAAATCCCTGCAACAAAATAGCAAGATCGAGTGAATGAATCATGTCATGTGATTTTAGTGGTGCAGGATATGCATTCCGGAGCACATTACATCCCTTCCCGGTTTGGCGGGCGGTGTTTGTGTAAATCAATCTAAAGTTTCCGGTGTAGTATTTTGTTTGACTGCTGTTTGACTTTTTGTCATGTTTTTTTCCATGGTATTGTTTTTTTTTCTTCGACCTCATTTTTGTCGAGCCTTCGACTTTTGTCGAAAAAGCGAGACATAGCGATCCTACATTCCGTCGGCGTCGTCGTCGTCGTCGTCGTCGTCGTTGTCGTCGGCGGCGTCCACAAATATTCACTCTGTGGTTAAAGTTTTTGAAATTTTAATAACTTTCTTAAACTACCCTGGATTTCTACCAAACTTGGACAGAAGCTTGTTTATGATCATAAGATAATATTCAAAAGTAAATTTTGTAAAAAAAAAAATTCCATTTTTCCCGTATTTTACTTATAAATGGACTTAGTTTTTCTGCCAGGAAACATTACATTCACTCTGTGGTTAAAGTTTTTGAAATTTTAATAACTTTCTTAAACTATCCTGGATTTGTACCAAACTTGGAAAGAAGCTTGTTTGTGATCATAAGATAGTATCCAGAAGTAAATTTTGTAAAAAAAAAATTCTATTTTTTCCGTATTTTACTTGTAAATGGACTTAGTTTTTCTGCCAGGAAACATTACATTCACTCTGTGGTTAAAGTTTTTGAAATTTTAATAACTTTCTTAAACTATCCTGGATTTGTACCAAACTTGGAAAGAAGCTTGTTTGTGATCATAAGATAGTATCCAGAAGTAAATTTTGTAAACAAAAATTCAATTTTTTTTTGTATTTTACTTATAAATGGACTTAGTTTTTTCTGCCAGTTAACATTACATTCACTCTGTAGTTAAAGTTTTTAAAATTTTAACAACTTTCTTAAACTATCCTGGATTTGTACCAAACTTGGACAGAAGCTTGTTTATGATTAAAAGCTAGTATCTAAAAGGAAATTTTGTTAAAATTTTGTTCAATTTTTCCGTATTTTACTTATAAATGGACTTAGTTTTTCTTCCAGTTAACATTACATAACAGTCTGCAGTCTGCAGTTTAAGTTTTTATTTTAAAACATTTATTAGATTCATAAACTATCCTGGATTTTTACCAAACTTGGACAGAAGCTACTTACAATCAAAAGATAGTATAGAGAGGAATATTTTTATTAATTTTTTTCCTCATTTTTGTTGAGCCCGTGATTAACAGCAGAAGTAGGCGAGACACTGGGTTCCGCGGAACCCTTACGAATTTTTTTTCTAATTGTCCCCTCTGTCAAAGTGGACTTTAGATAAGTTTTGTAGTCTTTATGTGTACTTTTTGGTCATATAGCTCCTCAAGTGTTCATGTATTTATACATCCCTGACTTTCAAAACGTGTAATTATGGGAGTTCCTGTTGAAGGTGAATACAAAAAAAAATCGCTACAGACGCAAAAAAGTTATAAAATGGTATTTTCATTTTCTAGCACTGGAATCATGATTGATAATATACTTTCCTTAAGTTTTTAATTTAGAAATTATATAGAAACTATAGTTCCGGATCTTGCAGGCAAAGTTGTCTTTAGATGAATTTTTCTTAACTGTATTGTTATGTCACTTTTAACCATACAGCTCCTCATGGAACTGATACTTATACATCATTGGCTTTCAAATTTTAGGTTAATCCTGAAAGCGCTTCGGACACACACAATTTTTAAAATATAAGAGAGAAGCCTTTCTCCTAAAGCACTTTTTCATTGACACCATAATAATTCAAATTAACAACGCGTTGAATAATTAGATATAAGAAGATATGGTATGAGTGCAAATGAGACAACTCTCCTTCCAAGTCACAATTTGTAAAAGTAAACCATAATAGGTAAAAGTACGGCCTTCAACACGGAGCCTTGGCTCACACCGAACAGCAAGCTATAAAGGGCCCCAAAAATGACTAGTGTAAAACCATTCAAACAGGAAAACCAACTGTCTAATCTATATAAAAAAGAAACATTTATGAACCACATCAACAAACGATAACCACTGAACATCATGTTCCTAAATAATGTTCGCCACAGACACTACTTGTCATATATTATTGTTACTGATACGAATATGTAGTTACTGTAGTAATTAATTAAAAGCAGATCATGAGTGCCATAGGTCACATATAATTTGTACACATATAGGTACTTGTCCATCATCAAAGAAATGTGCATATAGTTTATTTATTTTATTTATTTTGTATTTACATTGTATCATAGGTCAAATTTATTTGTTCAGTGTATGTTCACTGGTGTTAATATGCCCTTTGATTGAGTTAAGCTTTTTCAGTTGATATTTTATAGTGTGTCTTTCTATGTTGTGATGTTACACTATTGTTTCAGAAAAAGGGTGAAGGTTTGGTACCATTAAAACGTTTAAACCCGCTGCATTTGTTTGCACCTGTCCTAAGTCAGGAATCTGATGTTCAGTAGTTGTCGTTTGTTGATGTGGTTCATAAGTGTTTCTCGTTTCTCGTTTTTTATATAGATTAGACCGTTGGTTTTCCCGTTTGAATGGTTTTACACTAGTAATTTTTGGGGCCCTTTATAGCTTACCGTTCGGTGTGAGCCAAGGCTCCGTGTTTAAGACCGTACTTTGACCTATAATGGTTTACTTTTTTAAATTTTGACTTGGATGGAGAGGTATCTCATTGGCACTCATACCACATCTTCTTATATCTATATAAAAAGGTGGGTTAAATGTGGTAATACAAATGTACAGCTTAATTATATACTCACTGGAATTATAACTGCATTGATGTAGTCATTTCTGTTTATACCATATGATATTAGATAAGGTCTATATTGGTCATCTGCAAAGAAATCATGTTAAGTTGTCATAAGGTATTATTTATCTGAGTGTGTTTCTTCATTTCATTCGCTCAAAATGTTGCAAATAGCCTCATTTTTAGTAAAGTATTCGAAGCCTCGGTTATAATTGAAAACGCTATGATATTTATCGGTGTTTCACCCAAAATGAGGAGATTACAACTTAATTTTTTTAATGCAGTTTGATGATCGTCTTTTTGAAATTGAGTACCACCTCGATGGTCTTGTGTAAAATGCTCGCGTCGAGTTCAGGAGGTCGTAGGTTGCGATCCAGCTGGCTTGTGAAACCAAAATATGAGGAAGAACAAAGACTTGTTGGTTTGTAATCTAAGTATAATTGGTCCGGGCAGCGTGACATCATTTACTGTGGACTGTTACTTTGTGAACTAGCATGTTAAAAATCCTTCTCGGAGTGTCGATCTAGTACAAGGTACGTGTTATATTCATTCATTCTTAATTAACATTAATTAATGTTCTCGTCGTGATAGGCATGATAGGCATGAAATATTTGCAACTATACTTTGAAAATATAATACAAAATGCATCATATGTCGTTGTAAAATAACATACTCTGACCTATTCCGAAACAATATTAATGCTAAAAAAGACTGCATTATTATAAAATATAATTGTTTTATATGTTTTATTCAAACATACGTTCCTACATGTATCCCTTCAGTAAGGAGCTTAATGCATAATTCTTTGTTCTTGCTGGTTTTTTTCAGGTTCAGGAAATACTATTTTATTCCAGTTTACCATTCCAATTATTCATTCATTCGTATTCACAATTAAGATTTGAGTGTAGTGCCTCATATGCAATGATTTATGTACATGTATCTATGCAATGATTTATGTATCTGATCATTTGATATGTTTGCAACTAGTTATTGGTTTAAACTATTTGATCTTTGATGCATGAGCTTTTCTCTTACATAATATAACAATAAGGAGATGTGGTATGATTGCCAATGAGACATATATCCACTACAGTTCAAATGACGAAGATACGGCCTTCAACAATGAGAAATAGATCGGTACGAAGCACAAAAAAATAAACCTCAACTAAAATAGACAACTCTTTCACAAGCAAAAAATAAAATAAAAAAACCAAACCAAAAAGCACCATATAACAGACATCTCTCTCACAAGACAAATCCTAGTATGCTTATTTGGTAAAGCTAATTTATTTGTACATGCTTAAGTATATGTTTATAATGAAGAACTTTTTTTTTCTATCTTTGAATAAATTGCAATGATATTTGATATGTTCAGCAAAGCTGCTTCTCTCTGGATTAAGACTGCTTCCTTTGTATTTTCTTTCGATCTTATTATTATTTGCTACATGCATGGATACATCAGTTATTTATTTTACCTTTCGTTCTCTAAATAGCTTAATACTACGATAATTTAACAATGTCAATTAAAACTTCGTCAGTCAATGAAATGGACGGACGAACGTGTGATAAAAAACAACCGTAAACAAAAATAACAAGATGCTATGTTGACAGGGTGAGCATTTCATTCGATGTATGCATCAAGCGCGATACGCCTTTCAAGAAGTTTCCAATAAAAATCGTCAACTGGCAGAACACGACCAAACTGCTCTTAATGCCAGATGGACGACATATTGGGTGTATTGCAGAGTTCCTAAAGCAAAGACACATGCGATCAAACAAACTATGACGACGACGGTAACAAAATTATAATTTCAGATGTTCTACCTCATAAACTTGAATTACTTTTTTTTTTCGTCATGGGTATGTCTCTGATAGTAAAATTGCCATTATGAGAATATGCTTCGACATAGCATATCATTCGAGAAACATACAGGACGCAGATTTGTATGTTATTACTTCGAACATTGTAGTTTAAAACAGGAAACCTAAAATGATCCTGTTTGAAAGCCAGGAAAACGATATACATGTAGGTACGGATCAGGCACATTTGGTTTGTGGTGTCCATAATGTGAGGTTCATAGAGATTTGTGCGATTCAAAAGATGAAGCTCTCTGAAAAAAAGGTGCATTGACTGAAATAGCAATATCATTATACATGCATCTGAAAGTAAAACAATTTATAAATCCATGAATAATAGAGCCTTACCAGAATAAGGAATCAGAAATAGATCATGATTTTCAATTTCGAAATAAATTTCAAAATTTTGCCACCAGAAATTTATTTTAAATGATTGATGTTGTCTTTAATACCAAAACTCGTGCTGACCCTCTTTTGTGTTGTTACTGTCAGGAAATCAAGCCTAACTGTCAAATGTACACAACATTTAAAGTGGTGTACTTAATTGAACAATCTAAAAGGAAAAGCTCCTATTTTGATAATGTTTTGCATCCAGGGTATATGTCAAATATATATAAATGTTCAGACAAACAACACTTAATACATAACTATTGTTTACAAAACATGACTTACGTGCAAGAACATTCTTTTGAGAATTCTTCGATGTATTTTCTTTTGAACTCGCAGCAGTATACGCCTTTGTGGAATATAATGGCCTCATCGATTGCAATCTCTAAAATAATTTCAGAAAATATTCTGGTTAATTACTCTTAAGTTCATGTACAAGACATGAGATGAACCACTGTAGTTGATATATTTTTAATATAGATACATGAAAACCTATTTCAATTTAATGGCCAGCTAGATTTATGCATATTCTTAATGCAAAAACTATGAAAAATAAATAAACAAACGAAAGTTGACACAATGTATACTCAAGGTCAATTGGGCTAGAAAAATAAAAAGAATATTTTGTGTTGCCCCTATGTTGACTTTCACCATGAACGCTCATACTCAAAACATTGATAGTCATTAATGTATAACTACCTAAACACATGGAGAGCTATATGACCAAAAGGGACCTTTAAAAGAAGAGTAAACAGATGGCTGGCGTTCCTGTCACGAAACTAGATGCAATACAGGGTCAAACTGAGATATCACTAAATAAATACAACATCATATACAAGAATTATATGAAATAATTTTACCTGGAACTCTTCTTTGTACATCGTTTGATTTTTTGGTAAAGTCTTATTTTCTTGTTTCTCAATAGATATACAGAAATTGTTCTTTTGAATAGCCGTTTCTGGGACTGTGAACAGCTCTAACAATGCATCAAACACGGCTTTATATTGCTCCTACAATATTTGGGAAAAAAATAATACAAGTGTACGACATGATTAGGTTTTTTTTTGTATTGTTTAATAAGATTATTTAATATTCAATTCAAATATATTATTAGTATTTTTATCATTGTGGTTTGTTTTGTGTAGAATGTTTAAATTTGTTTGTTTAATTTGTTCTTTACTTTTGTACGAAAACGTGGAACTTTACTTGTATAGGTACAATGTATAGAAGTACTAAAATAAAGATTCAACCTCGAATCAGTTAAATTGAGAATGGAAACTGGGAATGTTTCAAAGAGACAACAACCCGACCAAAGAGCAGAAAACAGCCCAAGGCCACCAATGGGTCTTCAACACAGCGAGAAAATCCCGCACCCGGAGGCGGGCTTCAGCTAACTACTAAAAAAATTTGTACAAATTCAGTGAAAATGAGTTTTCTCTACACAATTAAAACAAATCCATAACATAATTATCGTCACAAATTCGCAGACCGAGTAAACGGCAAGATTTGCATACGCATAAGTTTTAGCTACTACTAGATACAGGCTTTATGGTTATGGACAATTAAGACTAGTGCTCTTTTAGAAAAAAAATATTTTAGTATTGGTGTTTCAAAAAAGGACGATACAATTATTATTATCAAAACCCACGACAACACCGTATCCAAAGAAGGATAAACAGACAAATAATAGTCCACAAAACACTACACAGTAAAGGTACGATTGAGCAACACGAGTCTCACAATTAAGATTCATTTTGATTCTATAAGTCCAAATTTAATATGGGGATACCCGTGTAACAATTTTCTTTTTAAAATAGAAACGTAGGGTGAACATTGTTGAGACAGTACAGCAACTTAACTAAAAAACTAGCCTGTTATGCTATGACTATGTAGAGGTATATTCAAGGTTGCAGGATGGCAGCAAACAATTACAGTTATAAAAAGGTAAGGTTTTATTACAGTTGTACAAACGCTACATTATTGCTACTGTTGTTTAAACGCAAGAAGAAAAAAGTGAACGATAAATAAGCTTACGTACGACATGTAATCAACAATTGCATCTATGAGTACATGTGCAAAATTGCAACAAAAAACAGTAACAATAATGATAAGCTTAAACCCCTGAGATGATACATACAATCATTATTAACTGATTGATGACTTATGAATGCTAAAGTGGCATATGTTAATGTGACATGGAGATACCTTGTTTTGTACTAGATCGATTTCGTATGTGGTTGCTTACATTGTAACTGTCCGCACGAAAGAAATAGAAGAACCCTATTCAGACACATTATTCGGACTATGATCCGAACGTTTTTTGATCTTATTCAATGTGCTTGGCAAATTAGCAGCAAATAGTTATACCAATTTGAAAGCATTTGTTTGACTATGATAACGACTAACCCAAAAACACCCTTACAATTGAAACGCTTCTATGAGTCCATCGAGGTGGTTCATACAAAACAAAATAACAGGTTAATTTGCAAATATAATACAAAAGGAAAGTGAGAAAATTGAATTGGTTCTCATGTTTTACTTTCCTTTTTAATTCATGCGGACAATTACAATCATGCTAGCAACAACACAAGAAATCGATCTAGTACAAAGCAGGTATCTCCATGTCACATTAAAAAATGCAACTTTAGAGTTGGTCTTTAAACTTTGAGTACTCTACGCTTTGTTTTCCCTGACCTGAAACATTTATACGAAACATTTTTGATTAAAAGTTGTTGAAAAGGACTACGGTAATTACAACACGTATATTCATTAATCTGATATAATTGCAGATATATAACATACATGTGTTTGTATCATATTCATTCTGTCCTTTCTCATCATCTGTACATAATTCATAATATCAACGTAACCAACTTTCTTCCCGTGCTCATATAATGCATCTATAGCAATGAATGTACCTGTCCTTCCCACTCCAGCACTGAAATGAAATGTTTAATGTATACAATATGATGCAGTGGAAACTTTGAAGGATTTAACATAAAACAGTTTAAATGTATATTGTTAAATTCAAAGTTGAAGTGCAGAAGGAAAGAAAACACAAAACAAATGGAAAGCAAACTTATTATAACGATATCAGGAGACAAGTACGCTTGTTACCGTTTGACAATAGTTTCAATATTATGGTGTGTATTACGACTCGTAACATATATGAAAATACCTGCAGTGTACAACCATTGGACCGCTCTGATCACGCTTTTCATATTTTACTTTCCTGTAAAAATGTACTAGTTTAATGCTGTCTGGTACACCATGGTCTGGCCATTGTGTGAAATGAAAGTGGTGCACTCTTCGTTCTTTCTGATTCTAAAAGTAAAGAAATCGGAATGAGAATGCGATAACACCTAACTATACAGATACTAATATTGTTAACATTTACGACTTAGTCTTATATACATTACAATAAGTATGATAAGTGACCTTGTAAGTCGATTCTAAAATTATAAAATTTAAGTCGGCGTTAGAACAGTGTCACTTCATTTTGCAGCTTATTTCATTTGTATATGGTTTTCAACGGGGTTATGTTTACGAATCTTTCAAATAATTATATTATAATGATATATATTATAAATAATTTATAATTAAAGCGAAAAATCAAATGAGCAATATTCAAATATATTAAACACGATGTTATCACGAAGAAAATGTAAAGCGATTTTGGTTTTTGGTAAGGAATTAAAAATGCATTCCGTTTTGACTATACACAATAATACATTTTAAATTTCAGTTCCTTTTTTTGTTTGTTTTCTGCCGTAAGCATAATCAAAGTGCTATATGCTATAAGATATTGGTTCATGCTCCACATTTTAAAGCTGATAGAATATTTAATTTGTATTTTGACTACCTTCTTATTTTGTAGTACAAGTAATCTATACACATAAATGGTATATATTGTTTCCTCCCTCATTGTGAGTTTATATTGGTCTACTACCATTGTTCTGTTGATCTCTTGTGGCCAATACTGTTCACATTTCCTCTGAAATAGAAAAATAGAAAATTACTTAATGATATATATAACAAAGCGTTATCATTTTACTAGTGGCCTTTATGGAAATTACATCTTGAACATCCAGTTTGGTTTAAATAATTATATTTTATTCAAGTAAACCGAATTGAAACCCGTGTATGCAGATGCATGAAAATAAGACGAAGTATTCTAAAATATATAATTGCTTCATATGATCAGGTTATCTAGTGAAACTAAGACATCAATAGACATCACTTTTATAGATATTTTGACCTGCAACATAGGACAGTCCATCTTTTAAGATAACTTAATATACTTCCACGACTCATTAAAATATTTTAGAAACCAAGACATGTATTTTTGTGTTTGTTTTATTTTTCGTATTATGAGTCAGAGCGACTGTATTTTAACAAGCATACTAGTTATGTATAATGTAGCCGTATAGCACCAGCTACTTCGAATTGTAAGGATTAAACATGACCCTGGCTTTTCCTGCAATCCTAAAGAAAACAGTACTCGGCCAATTGAACTAGTGGAGGGATGTTGTAAATCTGATTCGTAAAGTTAATTACAAATAAAATCTGCCAAAAACATTTGCAAACTACGCTTTGTTCTATAAATCAATTTTCATTATGTTTGGTTTCGTTTAAGCAGCAAATGCAATAATTTTTCCTTGCTAATTGAAACTCTGTACCACCTGGTTAGCAATTCAAGCTATGCAGTGAATTCAATATAGTAGAAATATATAATAACAGTAATCAACTGTCGAGGAAAACACCGCTACACATGCTGTATACCTAAGAGATAATTTGGGAGTTCCTTTCTTTATCGGAACACTGTTTTGCGATATTTTTGAAAACAAATAATCCGAGTAAACTAAAAATTCCCCCAAAATACCCGCAGTAACTGTTCATAGTTGAACATGAAAACAGACTATGTATAATCATGGAAGTATTATATTGACAGGAACTCCAACAAAACGACTCGACATGTCATATGGATGCATGGATTCAATCAAAATTTTGGAACCTCGTGATTGAACGTAATTACGGAACATACCGACATAACCGGATGTGTACTTAATTGTCAAGGAAATGACATTTAACGACCATGGTCACTAAATGACAAATATGTCAGTTTTGACGAGTTTGGCTGCGTTAAAACAAATAAAAAGAAAGAAACGAAAACCCCGCGACCTTTTTTTCACAAAAAAACTGAAGAGTAAAAATACTCTCAAGCCATGAACATTTCAGTTTTAGTTAATTACAATCAATTTAAATAGTAAGATTTTTATTCATGAGAGGGCCGTTGGCTAAACATGCATAACTGTTATAGTAAACATGCTAGGCTCGAAAATCAGAAAAAAAGGGCTTTGATCGGAAAAAAATATTATTTTTTGGCATATTGAAATAGTTCATGGGTAATCAAATCATATTTCCTTATTTTAATATTAGCTTGAACTTGGAACAGTAATTCACAGGCACTTGTCTAAGAAAACAAAATTTCCTATATACCTTAGTATAACAATATATTAAGGTATATAGGAATTTTTTTTCTGAGACAAGTGCCTGCGCAGTATATCTAATATATATGTTCCTGGCATGAATAACAATAAATTCCTTGTGTAAAGAAAGAAACGGTTGTAACCTGCATCTGAGGTTTATTGCTAAATTTGACAAATATTTCGAATAATTGTTTACTGAAAGTCCAATGGCAAATATTTCATGCAATTCAACAAGAAACAAGTCATTCCTAAAAAAAATTCTGTCAGACGTCAGATCGAGCAATTTCGGACTAGGTTGAAGGTTGAAAGTTGTTTTTAACTTTTGATATATTATAAAAGGTGTAACAATTCATCTGTCTCGTAGCCTGATAATGCTATGTAGAGGTCATCGCGTGCGTGTAATTATTAACCTCTTTCAGTCTTTAACTGAAACATATTTGATAAATACGTTAATAACATTTTTCTACATTGAGACGATAGAGAAAACCATAAATATTCTTGTAACATTCGATACAAACTTACAACCTTTAACTTAAATTTCAGAGATCCTTCGCCATCTTACATACTACACGCGCATCACATTATTTTACGCAAACACCCAACTTCAGGCACATGTAATTTTTAATACCGGATATTTTCCGGTTTCCAATTTCCAATGATTAAAACATATTAAACAAAACTAAAAATAATCTTGCCCTCTTTCCGAATGCACTTAATTTTCTTATGTCATTCTGTTAAATATGGACCGATTTTTTAGATCTTTTCAGCTTTTGCCTTCATTTATTCAACGGAAACAGGTGTCGTTATTCATGTGGCGATTCACAAATAACGGGAGTTGTCGTGTTTATTTACATTGGTAGGTAGATAAGACACTCGATACCAAATCACGTGATAAGACCAGCTTCAGTAAACAGAACAGGCAAAGGCGGCATCGCAGATACCCTACAAAGGAGTTATCACATACTTGACAAACTGATTCTGAACCTTTTATTTTCCTAAAGAAATCAGTGGGATGCGAATGTGCTAAATTTTCGTTGGAGTTCCTGAAAATATAATACTTCCATGGTATAACTGAAATACTACGATTTTAATACGAAAACAAACAAACAAACGGCATGAAATATATCGTGAATTATCATTTTCTGTCGGTCATGGTTTACTGAATACAATGATTTCATAACATAAAATCGAAAACATGAGGTCATAATATAACATGTGAATATGGAGTTGCAGCTTAGTTGAAATAATGTATAACTGAAATTAATACCCTTCTTTCTTCTTGTAGCTGCGTTACCATTACTATTTTACCGGTCTTTTCTTGCCAAACCATGTGCCAGAAATCCCTCACAGTATTCTTCTTTGGACCTAAGTTACAACAAAAGTAAGAAAAACTTGTTGAATAACAATAATTTTAAGAACTTGATTTACTTTAAGTAGTTATCCAAAACAAACAAAGTTAAAATAAGATTAAAAATAATAACAATTAGAAAAGGTCGCTTCGATTTTGTAATGAATTGTGGTTATTGTTTAAAAAATAGAGCAATGGATAAAAATATATGCATAGACATGTATATTCAATTAAATACTTAAGAAGAACCTCATCATAATAAGAAAAATGAAAGCAGAAACAACAAATTATGGAAATTGTAACTTGCATGACAGACCTATCATAAATATCTACAAACCTTGTGATGCTATGTATGCCTTTTCTTTGTCATAGCTCTATAATGAGTATCGATATATGTATTAAGGTGGTACCAAACACATTGAAGTGGTGACAAAATGTTTACTTTGACCCTTTGACAAAAATATAAAAAAATTTAAAAAACTTTGAACCACACACTTTATCGGAAAAATTTCATTGGATATCTAGCAGTCTGACTAACACTAATTTTGATCATTGAGAAGCTTAATATTTCCTCAACAATTATAGACCGTGATTAAAACGTTCAGCTGATTTTTACAGAGTTATCTCCCTGTAGTGTTATGTACCACCTTAAGCATAACATTTTCATTATCAATTCATTAATAAAATGTTACATTTAGCAGTTGTAGTAGTGTTTTTCTTCGGCATATTTTTCGCTGAGCTGAATAATTTATATCATTCAAAGGAAATATGACCATACGTTTTCACAATTACTGGACTGTCGCTAATGGCAAACTATCTGTCTCTGTGGATGACGCCTGATTCTTTGTTATAATTGGCATGAATTAAATGAAAATGTTAATTTAAAGATTGTTTTAGAGCAAAGGCTAGGTTTCAATTAGGCAAAGGTTATTTTAAGACTATTGAGTTTAATCAGTTTGGCCATATTGCACAAGCGGAACCGTAGTTCTTTGGTCTCTGCCGATTGCTTATATTGTGCGAACCATTTGTGGTCACCAGTTACATGTACCAATAAATGAAGTCATAGAGATTAGAGCTACTATTCTGCATCACGGCACTTTTGGTATTAATGCTTACAAATATGTTGCTTTTTTTTATTTTCAAACATTTTAGTCTCGGGTTAATATACTGTCACTGGATCGTTATCACTTCAATTGTAAAACTAGCATAGCTTATTATGATAGTAAATCCACCCATTAGCTATTGATTTGATACTGGTATGATTTAAATGATTTCAATTGACTATAAATGTCCAGTTATGAATTATATATTTGTATTTAAACAAAGGTTGCAACTGCCATATATTATTTTTTTCTATTTTGTGTGTCATATTTGTTTTTCGGCTATAAAAGTTTTGTCCTTCTGATTTATTTTTATCTCGAGCATACCTAGTCAGCGATACCTCAGACAATAAAACGGTGTCATGTGTTTTAATACATGTAATCAGTATTATTATCGTCAACAATGTTTTCCATTTTCAATTGTATTTAATTGGAGCTACAGAGAATATCATTGCGTTCTACTGCTTGTTGCAAAGAGTTACTTTTGGAGCGAGATATGGCTCAATCGTTTTGTTGTTGATAAATGGTGTTGGATACACATATTATAGGTTTTTGTGATATATTTTTCAAACAATGACACTTTAAACTTTATGCTATAAGCTTTAAATGTTCAGAATCATCACAGAACTATGAAAGTTTTTAAATGATAATAAAGGTGTAAACTCACGTCAATATAACTAGCATTTATATAATCATGTTTAGTATCTCCAACCAACACAACCCGTGAGTGGTCATCTACAAGAAGATAAAAAACAACAAGTTGGTTGGATAAACGTAATTTCTGTATGACCTTATGAAAATGTTACAAAGTTTGTAAAGTGTAGCTCATGACGAGCAGTTCTGGTAGATACTAAATTTGCTGTTCAGTATAACGGACCTTTATATATAAACAATTTTATTTTGTTTAGGTTTCTTGATAAAAACCAGAAGATGTAATACATAATGATCTTAGATATACTTTTGTTCTGACTATGGTCAAAAAAACTTTTTTTTTATATTTGAGATAAACTTATACTACTTTCATCTTGTACAATTATGTGTAAGAAAAAAGACTTACTGCATCATATGTTCAAAAGCATTAACTTTGTTACAATGGGATTGGTTACTCAGATGGTGGACTGTCAGTACCAACTAGTCGACTGCATATGAAACCAGAACAAAATTTACCACAAGATAGTATAGACATCATTGCTAATGCCTCAGTGGTTAAAAGACAACATCGAAATTCGACACCAGAAGATAAGAAAGACAAACATAGAATGTGTAAATAATAGGAGTGCAACGAACTAGCATAATAATTAATGCAAATAACATTAATATGTACCTGCGTCGCGTCTTAACTTTAACTTTTGAAATGATAAAAAAAAACAGACATGGTGCATTAAGGACCAGGTGCAGACCATTGTGTAACACATGGCAAAGCAAAGTATGGTATTTCATAGTTCTGTTTAGTAACTTGGAGCTTTGTTTGGTTCGTTTTGTTTGTGTTCTGCATAAACAAATGGGCACAATATATATAGTGGAGTCCGTTTTCTAATTTTATTTTTATTTTCCATTATTAAATGTATATAAATTTTATTAACATTTTTTAGAGATTAAAAAGGAGGTTCTACTTAGATAAAAAAAGGGTTAAATATGTTTGAATCCATATTTATGTTGAGTTATGTATCCAAAGCTATAGCTACATTTAAGTAAGAACTGGGCCATATTAGAACTTTGCATACTCTTGCATTTGGTTTTCAATCATTTGAGATCGTATTTACAGTGTTGCTGGGTAGGGTTTAGTATAGTGCATGCTGTGATCCCTTTTTTCACAGAGATTAGAAAACAGTTTACAAAACAGTGCTCGTTATTGTAAAATAAAAAAAGCACAACAAAAATTTAGAGAAGCCCATACAAACAACTATAGATACGGCTGATGACCGATGACATTGCAGGTACAAATGTAACAGGATTTAATACCTTTCACATATATCTTGATCCCTTGTAGAAAGAAGCACAAAATGTTACGCCATCAATATTATATTCAAATAGTACATACATATGTATATCATAGAACAATGTTGATTGACAAAGTTTCAATTCATCAATATTGTTCCAATTTCTCTTTCAAAACGCATTAATCGACGAACGTTTCAGAGTACAGCATCAACATTTATAACTAATACATACATGGCCATGTTGTAAGGAAACGATTTTTAATTTTGTTTTCGTCTTTGGAACCTTCCATATGTTGATGAATAAGTCCTTTAGGCAAAATCTATACAAAATGGGAAAAAAGAATATCGTATAAATTCAAAGGTAATTACATACTAGATATATCATTTCCAAATCTATCAGTGTTTGATAATCGAATATTGTAATCGATGATTTGATTATTATAATGATGATGAAGAAAGTAAAAACTTAAAAAAAAAAAAATTATCAAAGATACCAAGTTAATGATTGTGAACACCAGACGCACTTTACATCTACAAACGACTCATCAGTAACGCTCGTATCAATAAAGTGTAAGGCAAAATAAAGTACACTGTGAAATAACATTGAATAACCAGAATTCCAAAAGGTTCTGTCAAATACAACTAAAGATAACGTAATTTATTGCTGGGGTAGAAAAATACATAATATTTCGAACAATTCAAAGTTTTGTAAACAGTTAATTTTTAAAGATGACCATATCAATTATATTTCATGTCAACTCATAAGTGATGACTACTGGGCTGGTGATATGTAAAATCATTGTTATACATTGTATTTTGCAAGTTTTGTTTTAAATTTTTGGATAATATGTATTTTTATCATACCTCCTATACATTTCTAGGAATATGATTGGTTAAAAGCAAACGCGTGGAGACCGTGTATATTTCATATGGGGTTAAAAGGCGTGATTTATTTCAATACACGGTTAGTAGTGGTGTTACTTCCCTTAGTAAAAACAACACGATGTTGAGGAAAAATTTGAAAGGTTTCGTTACAGACGAAGAAATTGATGATGAACGATTGAAATAAATTCATAAAACACGTTTAAAGCCAACAACGGATGAAGTTGTTGGCATTTCTTTTGTATAGACCAATGGAAGTAGGTTCTGAATACTAGTATTGAAGACTTGATCACTTTGATAGGCCACATGTTAAGATAGTCGGTAAGATAAATTCGTTACGCAGTGTGCAAGTGACCTAATACGATATATATGGGGTCAGTAAATTAACCCCCGCTCTCACCCCATATGGAACTTACTGAACCCATGTAACTAATAATATTAGACGATTAATTATGCACACAAAAATAGAAACGTTTAGGAGTGGTAGAAAGTATTAACCTCGTAATCCTCTTTAAAACTTTCATTGTTCTGTTTCTCCTCTATAACCTGTTTTAGGTCTCCAATTGCTATGTTGAATTTAACAATAGTTTTTTTAGAAGGTACATTATTGTAGACGTTTCCTTCATCTTCAACATCATCTTCAGTAGGAAGTGCGTCTGACATTCTACTAGCTCTTTCAGGTACCGATACTGTTACGTCATTTTCGTCGGTTATGCAACCTACATTAATATATTCATTTCTTTCCTGATCTGCAATACAATTTTAAAAAAAATTGTTACCATTTAATGTTTATCGAAATGTTCGCACTACTACCTTTGCTCCGTATGTTCAAACTTATATGTTTGTAAGGAAAAAATAACTGATTTATATTGCAAGATATTTGTCTCTATCCTTTCTAACAGAGCGAAAACATTTCCTCCCCAAGCTTGGATTGTATCTTTTTGTTATTTTTCATTTCGCCTGTAGAATTTCTACTTTTTGTAGTAAAAATCTATGTTCAGTGATGCAGTAGCACGGTTGCAAAAATCTATGTTGTAGTTCGGTGGCAAAAATATGTGAATTGAAAAATTCAAAAGACAAGTCATTTAATATCCTCAGCATCATATTTGACTGATATTTTGCGCGCGTCTGACGTATTAAATTATAATCCTGGTACCTTTGATAAATATTGAATAGTCATACAAGTATGTGTACAAGCTATTTTTTTTTTTGAAAGTATCTAATTAACACTAATTGTCAATTGTCGTTTTCTTTAGATTTCAAACTAAGCTACTGCTAATACATGTAATATATCGAATATCTCTATTTTGTGGAATTGATAGCATTAGAGCACTTTAAATATCGGATGCACACATGCATGGGCGGATATTACTTTAAAAAAAATATCAAATGGTTTTTAATTAACCTTATTGTTAATGCAAATCTATAATGTGAATTTCTTTAAAATTCTTACAGATATGTAAGATTGACAGCGTTTTGAAATGTCTGAATATGGCACATACTTTAATATGCAAAGCCCATTGGTGCGGTTGGGAGCAACTGTACGTATCACTCTTTATGGATTAATCCGCGGAAACATAAAAACTTTACAATATAATCATGATAATTAATTTTTATTGGATGTTCAAAGTTGTGGTTTTAAAAATGTGTGTTGCTACTCACTCATGTATGGGTTTTCATTAGACTGGTTGTGGTGTTCACTGTCACTTGCATATCTCTTATGTTTGAATGGCAACCCTCTTCTGCACAGGAAAGCAAAGTGTAATGAAGAAATATGAACATTATCAAATTAAAAAACTATTCTATTTAAAACTCTTGTCTAACGAACATGTGACTAAATTTAGGAAAATGTAACACTGGCAGTACTCTACTTTCTATCAATATCATTTTGAAAAATTTCATAATTGTTTTATGAAATAGTTCCGTAATCGCAAATAAGTGTATTGAATGAATTTGTACTGCAAATGCTTAAACATGTTATGGCAAAATTAACAACATATATTACATAATATAAAACATGGATAGAGAGCAGAGAACAATAGTAAAATATCATGACAAATTTAAAGTTATGAAACTATATGAGATCTAATATGGCATGCAATTTTTATATAATTACATGATTTGATAGTGAGAGACCTGACGTTTGAAGAAAATACAAAAGTTTACGATTATAAGGCCAGGAACAATAATACTTTGGTAAAAATTGTGTTCTCATAGATCTACTAGCTAGACAAACTAGAACAAAATGATATTCATCTTCAATAACACACATTTCATAGCATCTACATAAACGATTTTCTCTCGGAATATAATTGTAATAACCAACTGCAACATTTAACGTTAATGTTCCACTGCATAATTTGTTAACTGACACACATTTTTGTTATAAGTAAGATATTTTCTAATACAAAAGGTAAATTTAAATCTACTATATAATAACAAAGTTTATTACATTCTTGAACAGTTGTTGACCAATTCTGCAGATATTGGTCTTTAATGCGTGTTTTAATAGCATCTATACAGACTGTGCTAGCATCTTGATACAACCATACATAATTAAATCCAAAATCATATACAATATCACGTATTTGTGAAGCCCAGTTAACATAACCATTGTTATCATTGTCATACAAGAAAATATTGTGTGCCACAACAAATAGTTAATCAATGAGAAAATAAAGTAAACTTCAAATCATGATAAAATTAAGGTAATTCTCAATTAATCTTCATTTTAAAGACCGTAACATGTTTTATATGTCAGGAAAAAACTGTTAAAACACAAACCATTCGTCAATTTAAATACTGGCTTCTATCCTGCTCCAAGTGCTTTTATCGAAAGTTTACAGCTTAAACATTATATAACAATATATATATCGTCATTCCGTTCGACTAAATTACCTGTTTAGTCGCTTCGTAATTCTCGTATGATTCGGCTTTGAGACGTGAGCAATCATTGTCGTTCTTTCCTCCGTTTATATCATCCTGCTTAGTTCATTGAAGTTCGTAATTTTCGTATGACGACTTAGAGACGTAAGCAGACATTATCAGCGACGTCACAATGTCAGGGGAGAAGTTATCAGCGACGTCATAATGTGTAAAGAGACGTTATCAAGCTTGTTTTCGTCAAACGTAAAACTGTCTAAGAGAGGAGCGAAGGACCAGTAATAGAACGATAAACAGATTACCAGGTCTTCTACGTATCGATATTGTAAAATATCAGCCGCTCGACATAATGTAAAGCTTTTCTGGTCGTTTGCTGCGCTCACTCGCCTATAATGTTTACATAGGCTCGTGGCTGAAATCTCGAGAATCAATTCTTATCAGCGACTTTACAATGTCTGAGGAAAAGTTATCAGCGACGATGTATGACGAAACGTTATCAAGCTTACTTTTGTTAAAACTGCTCACTTGGCTATAAGGTTTACAGTGTGGCTAGCGGCTAATATTTTACGATATAAATAAATACAATAACCTATACGTATTTTACAAGTTTGCCGAAGTTGACTTTTTCATGTAAAATAGTTTGCTCTAATATAAATCTTTCCAAGATATATTATTATACACAGTTGTTTTTAAAACGTATACATCTTAACGACACTGCTATAGGCGTCAGTGCAATGATAATCCGTTAAAACCACATTAATCAATTGATGCAGTCTCATACGTATTTGGACTAATGCAAACTCTTCTAATTAATTGGTCAATAATTTCAACTAATAATTTAGAGATTTATATGCGTTTTCATCTGACTTGATAAGTTTTAGTATCATCTCAAGGTATCCGTTGTCCGTTATCAATTTATATTTTCACATCTACTTTAGAACCAGTATACAAGGTGAATTCGTGTTAGGTAAAATATTCTTTAAATGTGTTGCCATGTGTGGGTTTTGTTTTCGATTCGTCAAAATGGTCGTTTCAGTATTTTATAGCTTCTGGTTTGACTGTACACTGAAATTTTCTTCTTAACAATTTGTTCGAGCATCTGGTTTTGCAAGGTTTTATGGACTTCCCCCTTTTTGAATTTACATCAAAGTTCGGAATTTTTGTTTATACTTTTTCTGAATAGAATGCAGACAGACTTCACTTGAAACATTTGTTGTTACTTTTGGCCCAATCAAAATGTAAACATCGCTTTTTAGAATAAAATAAAATTTTTGTTAATTTTGGTATTTGTGAAATGTGATTTAAATGGATCCAAAATAGATTGGTCCCAGTTCCAAAATCTCTCTTCCAAAGAACCAGACAGCAATTAAATAAATGTATTTCTGCGCATGTCCTGCAAATGTGTTCTTACGTAAATGCCGATTGGAAATTCAGAACCTGAACAGAGAACCTGAACAGAGATCGCAATAAACTCTTACACCGAATACGTGAGATTAGATTTTGGTTTTAATTCCCCAAGGAATCATGCAGGAATGTCCATAAGGTATTTACTAAAATCATTATTACTTTGCTCACGATGAAAACCCAATTTTGACCCAAGATCTAAACAATGTTGTACTGTTACACCACTATCCAAAGTTAAGGGGAGGGTTTGGCGCCAACAAACTAGTTTAACCTCGCCACATTCTGTATGTGGCTGTCCCAAGTCAGGAGCCTGTAATTCAGTGGTTGTCGTTTGTTGCTGTATATCATATTTGTTTTTTCGTTCATAAATCAGGCCGTTAGTTTTCTCGTTTTAATTGTTTTACATTTGCCATTTTGGGCCCTTTAATAGCTGACTATGCGGTATGGATTTTTCTCATTGTTGAAGGCCGTACGGTGACCTATAGTTCTTAACTTCTATGTCATTTGGTCTTGTTGAGAGTTCTTATTTTGTTCATTTCGGATATATTTTAAGAGTCTGTTGAACTATGCAGGGTTAGTTTGACGGATGAGCTATTCAAGCTACGTTGAGTTTGTATATACCTTTATACCCTTTTTTTATACCCTATATGTTAAATATACCTGTATATGATGATGGCAACTGCAGTTAATAAAATAACTAATATAGCAGCACTTATTCCACCTCCAATGGCTGGACCAGAATCGGTTGAGGATTGTTCCTGAAATTCTAAAAGCTCAATAACATTATTTTTATAACAGATGATTATAAGTCTTAGAAAAAAGTAAAATAACAAAAATACCGAACTCCAAGGAAAATTCAAAACGGAAAGTCCCTTATCAAATGGCAAAATCAAAAGCTCAAACACAAAAAACGAATGGAAAACAACTGTCATATTCCTGACTTGGTGCAGGCATTTCTTTATGTAGAACATGGTGGATTAAACATGGTTTTATAGCTAGCTAAACCTTTCACTTGTATGACAGTCGCATAAAATTCCATTATATTGACAACAATGTGTGAACAAAACAAACACACATAATAGGTAAAACTGTCAAAAATAGGGGTACAGCAGTCAACATTGGTGTTATAATCTGAATCAGTATAAAAACAAACAATTATGTCAACAAAGAAAAACAAAATGGCATATAGATAACGCACATATTTAAAGCAAAATTGAAAGACAATAATAAAAAAAAATGAATAGTATTTAATTCGTGTTGTCTAGTAAAACGCCATCACATTTCTGAATCATTGTTTTACTTGTAAGAAATAATTTAACAATTACATTGTATCTGAATGTTTTAAAAGGGTTCTTCTTTTCCCGAACATTTGTGTAAGATGACATTGAAAATTTAGAAATTTGTAGTTTGTCAATTATTATAAAATAAGTGAACAGCTTTTGAAAATTTGTAAAGAAGCCTAACAATCGGTGCATATGTGTTTTCCTTCAAATTTCATTGGAGGGAGCACAAATCTTTCAATATTTTATAAGAAAGAATGAATAATAAATTCAATAATGCATTTGTATATTAAAGTTATATTTAAAAAAAAAGAACGTACATGTAACAAATCAGAATGTTAGCATGCATATAAAATAATTACAAAACACACTTCACATTCATTGGAATGCAAATAAAGGTTTCCACATTAAAGCTGAGCACATGACATTAAGGAGTAGGAGAAATGAACATGACTGGTATGCTGGGTTTTAAAGAAATGCATCTAAATAGGATAACAAAATTATTAGCCCAGCAGAAAAACAGGGTTCAAATGCATATCATTAGAACACGGTTCCGTCCTGAATATGCATGATTGTAACAATTACCAGCAAAAATCCATCTATGATCCATCTATCCATTCACCATAGACATCATTTAGTTATTTGAAAGTTAACAACAATGTATTTTCATTTTCAACGTGCTAGCCATAAACAGAGTACTATGCCAAAGAGGTTTATTAATGTACTTGAGAAACTCTCTTACTTTTACATATAATCCATTAATATAACTAATTATGATGCATATATACCTTTATCTTTACATATCGGACCACTGTATCCTTCAATACACCCGTCTGTACAATTCCCGTCATATATATCACAGGACCTGTTGTAACATCCTTTACAGGAGTACATACAACTAAACCCAAAATAACCAGGACTGCATTCTGAAAAATAAACTTAATATACTTGACATTTCGTATATAATTATGTAAATATATTATTTCTATCTGCTGAGGTGCCTTGGTGGCAGAGTGGTCTAAGTAGTCGAATCTGAAAGTAAAACTTGTAACAAAAAACTTCGGCAGAAATGTGATGAAGAGCTTGAAATCAATTTTAATACGTCAAATGTACGTGATAAAGCTGGAATATCCATTTAAATTTTTGTTCAATAGCTCGTAAAATATTTAGCAAATTTCAATTATATTGTAATTTGTAGGATAATAATTTATTGATAATCATATATTTATCAATATCCTTGTTTCGAGATATACAGAATTGTAGACCACTGTTTTGTCAAATGAACAAAATTGGCGATTTTTTTTTTAAAAAGCATAGAAATTCCTTTCACGAAGTACACAAAAAATGCCAAAAAATAGTACTGATCAGTTAAGTAGGCGGAGCTAATAAATATGTTATATTGGAATACTTTCATACAGCGGAATCAAATGATTCGTCTTTCAACCAATTAAAGATCAGCATTTGTATGAAATGAACACCTACTGTAAATATTTGTTTATAATTGTTTCGTTTGTCCTATTTTACATATTACTTCTTATTAAAATAATTTTATGCAAACGAAATTTAAGAGTTCTGGTTGAACAATTTTTTATTCGCAATCTTTGTTTGTATCTGTTATCTATCTATTGATTTTACCCATAATTGAAAATGTAAAAGTGTAATAGCACCTTGGCAAACGATTAATACGGACATCTTCACAACGGAACGGTGACTGAACTTCTGTTCAATGAGAAATTATCCCTTTGTCGAACTCGCTCATATAAATGACTGATACGTTTGTGGAAAATTCATTTTTTGGTACAGAATTGTGCAACCGTTTGTCAAATTCTTATAACCAATAAAAAACCTAGATCTTTCTTTTATTTGAAGTCTCCTTTTTTAATATCTTGAAAGAAAAGAATAATAATCCTCAAATTACTATATAACTAGAAAACTGACATACCAGCAAGGGCCTCAATTGTGCATTTTCTTGTAAGACACAGCAAAAAATAACTGATACAGACGCATAAAAAGTAAGTCAATTTCATGGGGTATCAATTTTAGACTTTTTCGTCTTTTTGGGTTTTCTTTGTATATTTTATGCCATGGCATTATTAGTTTTTCGTAAACTTATGAGTTGTGAATGTGCCTTTGGTATCTTCCGCCTCTTTTTGCATAGATGTTGACAAATTGAATTAATATAAAATTGTTTTTTTTTAAATCCAAGTACTGTGTATTTTGGCAGAAATTTCATAAATGGCGGGCAGCCACTAACATGAATAATGTTTTGACCCAGAGAATCATTTTAGAAAATCAAAGTATGCCTACCTATAGGGGTTCGTTGAAATTCAAGAAAAATTATAGATGGTTCTCAAAATCAATATTTTTATTTTAACAAAAACTAAGTGTTTACCAAACTATTATATGTATATCAATTTTGTTGTAGCAGAAAAAGATGTTCGGAATCCATAAAAAAAAAAAAAATCAAAACATTTGACACAATTTAGTTTGGAATAGCTTATAATATCTGAATATCGATTTTCATTGAAATTCCAGTACCTCTCAAAATTTATGAAATTAAACATGTTTTACAAAAACTAAGTTTTAATGTCAAATTACCGACACAACTTACATGTATCACACAAATCTAAACTTGACTTTGGGAATCAAAACAATCAAAATGGAACTTCCTGTTATATGTATCAACACTGTGCATACGAATTTTGGAAATAGTTTGAGGATATATTGACTTAGACGACCTGACACTAATTACACGGCATATGAATAAAAGGAGATCTTATCCTTGGTATTAATCTATGATATACCAAACAAACGACAAAAAAAAAACCCACATAAGATATCCAAAGTTCTATATACCGCCTTCAACAATAAACATATGTCTATACAATATATCATGCTCTAAATCGTGTTTCCGATTAAATACAATTATTGAGATATTATTAGACATGTACAATCTATACTAAAATATTGAGTCATTCTTAATTTACGCCGCTTCAATCATACAATTTGATATAACATTGCTTAATGAAAATGTGAGAATTTGGTAAGCAATCCATTTTCAAACACAATCAATCTAATGTCTACCTTTATCACACGAGTCACCATGCCATCCCCTTTTGCACCCGTCATTTGAACATATACCACTTGATTTTTCACATGGCTGATTACGACAGTAACAAGTGTTTTCACAATTTTTTCCAAAATTCCAATCTGCACAAGCTGCAACATAAGACAATATTTATTATGATACGTATCTACCTCTTGTTACGACAATGACATAGTTTGCCGGCTTTGACTACAGTGATATTTACAAGAAACGTTTGTGATTTGTTTACGCGACTGACGAGTATCTCTACAACTAGTTGTGTCTTTTTTGAAGGTGAGCAGCAAATAATCCTGACTTTATATTGTTCAACTGTATTTTAACATTTTTTATTTTCCAGTTATACAGAAAGTTCGGTACTGTTCTAATCTTAACACATGGAAACGCTGTATATTATTTAATGAGACCTAGAACCAAACGACACAAATATACAAAAATGCATATAGTGTGCAACACACAGTCTGGTTGTATCGAATTTAAGAACATGCTTTATCAAACATAACAAAGTGACTTTAAGTGTCTGCTTTATCCCCTCGTATGCCAGTTTCACATTTACATGTGTTACATACTCGTATTGCAGTATTTTCCTAACATAAAGCCTGGTTTACAGCCACTGGAATTACTGCAAACACCATTAATGCGGTCACATTCATCCGATATACAGCCATCACAGGACTCTAAACAATTCTCTCCAAATGTTCCACTATCACATTCTGAATAAAAAAACTGTTATAAAGTATTTTAGTGTGTGTGTGTGTGTGTGTTTGGATTGATGTCTTATAAACATTTCACCTAGAGACCTAAATTGAAGGTCATATGAATACGGATTCAATAAGGTCGAATTATTCACTTGCAAGTGAATAATTCATCAGCGATGTTTCTTACCTTATTTTTGACAAAAATGAACCAAACTAGCTGCTAAAAGCGAATTATTATTGCACTATTGCACTTTTATTAATAATTGAACTAATTATTTTTTTTATTATCTCGTAGCTAATGTCTCTCTAAATTTTGAGCAAATTAATACATCAAGGGACAAGATAATTAGATACAATGAATATGGGTGTTTGTTTAACAATAAACAATAGCATTGCATAAATACAACCGATACTGCTCTTCGTCCAAAATCTTGTTTTGTATACATGGATGTAAATATAAAGCTACAAAATTACTTTGCTAGTCTTGTATTATTAAGAAAGTAGAAATTTTTGTTCTTCAAAGTTGAAAAATTCAAATCTAAAAATGTGATTTTCTTTATTTTCAATCATTTGAACGAATATATAAAAAAAGTGAACTGAAATCACCACAAATAATCGACAGTGCTTGTTGAACTGACATCAACAATCATCCAAGTCCAAAATTTCCGTAACATACATGTGACAGAGAAATGTTCTGTTCAGATTTTCTGATGCCAATTATTTTCAATCAAGACAGGTACACTCCTGTATGAAACCACTTACAGAGAAAATGAAATGATAATCCAAATATTTTACCGGACGTATCATTATATACGTTAAATACAAATATTTTTGATGAACACTCGTATAATTAAATTTGAGAACTAACAGAACTGATATATGTTCAAATCATACAAAGTACAAAGGGACGTATTTCTAAACCAAAACGGAAAAAAGAAAAAGATGACTCTGTTGATTTTTGCTATACAATCTTTTTCTCTAGAATATGTCTACCAGGAAAACTACGGTAAACGCACCTACAAATAAGAGAGTTTCTCTAGAATATGTCACTTAGAACTCGTGTTCTTCTCTTAACAAATTCTATCAGTTCTACACTGAAACAGATCCTGACATTTTCATTTAAGAACAGTTTTGGTATTTAGAGGTAAAGTGAGTCGTAATTCTCTGTGTAGTGTTTGTGTGGACTGTTGAATGTTGTTTCGTCGTTTTTTGTTTTTGTTAAAGGTTTCTCCGGTTTGTCTTCGACATCTGCATTTTGATTGCCTCTATTATTCGTTCAACCTTTTTTTCAACAGTTCTACCCTAGAACATTTCTAGAATAGTTTTATGACAGATAGACAGATTATTGTAGCAGTTCTGTAGAGAGGTAAGAATTGATTCCAACTTTTTTTTAGTGTCATAATCATTTGTTTTTATGATAAACAATAATCACATGTAGCATTCACCTGAAGGTGTAATTAACAAACCTTCTGTGCAGTTGAATCCTCCCCATCCTCTATGGCATTCTCCAACACATTCTCCCGTTACGTGATGGCAGTGTATGGACAGACAGTTTTTGGAACAGATCCGGAGACACTGACCACCGAAAAAACCAGGAATACAAGCTGATAATAAAATCATCGTTATGATCTATAAATAGCATTTATGTATGAAGCTATTTCAGAGAAATGCAGGGGAAAAAATACCAACATAAATCGTTAGATATGCAGCAAAGATTAACCCTTTTGACATGATAGTATTAAGCAAATTCAAACGGACCTCATCCCAATGAAAATATGAAATGCGAATACACCGAGAACACCGCAAATACACGTACAAAAATCGAGACGACCTTTTCTTAAAAATTTAATTTCTTTTTTTAGTAAAAACCTGTTTACTTATAACCTACTTTGTAAAAATATCTATCTTTGATTTTTAACCTGTATAAACACAACTATGAAATCGATATATTCACGAAAATACAATATTTCTATATTGAAAATTCACATGGAGCAGAACGGCGTAAGAGAAAACTGAACTGTGGAAAATATGCATATCTTGGGAAATTGTAACATGCTAAGGACTATTTGGAACACTCCGGAAATTGGCGACTTGAAAGAAGTTAAGATTGTGTATCCACATGATATTTTTCCAATTTGTTTTTAACAATATGCAGCAAAGATAAACAGTTTTTCTCAATTTCAGTTTCACAAGCTTCTAATGCAACTATCTCGGTTAATGATCAAAACAAAACATCATGTATTTGCAATGTATATTTCTAATAACACAAATACTTTCTTTAAAATGTACAATTATTGTTTAGAAATAACTTTTAATCAGTATCGTCTCCGGCATTGTAGAGTTTACTAATAGTTTTTTTCTACTTTTTCATTAGAAGAGAAACTTTTCTATAATTTTTCTCGCATCAACGGCTTTAGCCACTGCATATATGAAAAGCAACAGCACAATTTCGACAAGCATTTCAATGGAATTATCATAAAAAGTTAACCAAAACCCCTGCTCATATTATGGTCTTATCACCTAGATTAACGCATAACAGCTGATCATAGTCATATCGCTTGTCTATTTAAATGGTTGCGATTTTATAGTTGTCGTAATGTTAAATATATCACATTTTCAATAAAAAGAAAAAAAGGAAAATTCTAAATCGGATTCCAATATAAGACAAAATATTTCATCTTTTATTAAGCATACAGTGTTAACGATCACGTCTAACAACTACAAAATCTGAACTCTTGTATTCACATGAACATATCCAATTTTCTAGTATGCTTCCGATAAATTGTCGTAACTAATTCAAAATATATGTAGACAGCTTTTGTTGGGATAGTTAATATGGGAATAAAACAAAAGATTGTACTATTTGTCTTATCATAATTGGTTTATATTACCGTCAAACACATTTTGCAGTTTACCTTGGTCACATTTAACACCAATCCAACCATCCAAACAGCCAAATGTACAATTTCCTGTCACTATATCACATCGGTCAATGCAGTTTTTGGAACAGGGGGATTCACAATTGTGTCCATATTTTCCGGAAGGACATCCTAAATATTACAATATATAATCAACGAACTATATGTTGATATCTATGATCATCTATGTCATACATTTTCCAGATGCTGTATTTAAGCAAACAATTTTCGAACGGTATTTGACTGAAGTCTCTCAAAAGTTTTACAACAATCATATAATTATCTTAAATATTTTATTGATTCCATTGTCAGAAAAGTTGAAGTACTTACAATCATATAATTATCTTAAATATCTTATTGATTCCATTGTCAGAAAAGTTGAAGTACTTACCACCGATTTCTATTTCGCAGAACTCTAATTTGGAATTTCCAACAGATGGTACATAAGTAACATATCTGCAAACTTCTAAAACTGTAATATCCATGTTTACATAATCTTCGTTGTTTATAAAATGGATACCACTTAGGTATTCAGAGGTATTGGAACAATATACTGAAAACCTACCAACACTGGCCGTTTCATCTGCTAATAAGACAAATACCCATGTAAACTAAGAAATAAATCTCATAAAAAAATACTTTGAATATATCGTTTCGAGACAATATATAAATATTGCAAGCTATTACGAACGTTCTTTCCATTAAAACTAATGATAAAAGTAATCACTAGGATCATATCAAAGTTTAAGGAATTCAACATATACTGTCTATAGTACAGCGTCCAAACCTAATTATGAATACAATATTTACAAACTTGGTCGTATTATATCATGTTTACATTATTTCTCTAGCTATACCTGAACCAAAGGAAATGTGGGTGTACGCTAAACCTTTAAGTGGGATGTGCTTAAAATGGCCTTAGTATTATAAGGGAAACACACAAATGAGTTAAAAATTTTGTCAAATTATTAGAAAATCCTATCGATTTTCATAAATTAATAATTGACCAACTAACTTTATATAAAAATCCGAATTTACATTTCTAGTTATTGACTGCTTCAGTTAACACATTAATTTACTCCGAATAAAACATGTTCAACAATGCTGGTAACGACAGAAGTCTGCGGAACACAGTGGAGTAGAAAAATCACTACACGAAAGCGCAAATAAACCTAATTGTGCAAATCAGAAATTTAAGATATTCCATCATATTCATTATGTATGTTTAATCCTATCAAAGAAAAGGACATGAAAAGCACCCTTCAAATGTGTTTGCTTTTCGTCGATTTTTATTTTTTGTTATGGTATTGTCGCTCTTGTGTATTTTCCCACTTTCAAAAAAACAATAATTCAGTCAAAATCTATATAATGTAATAATCCACCCAATATTATAATTTGACTCTAAACCTTTCTAGCAGAGATTTCAATTTAAATGCGTCACGTATTGTATTAATATTAGCTACGTAACCATGGGCAATCAACATTATTATATAAATGTAGTGAGTCAATTCCTAATGAACGCAAGTTGCAATAGAAGTTATTATTATTGGTATTGGGAAATATGCATTGACCTTGTTTTTATATGGGCTTAAAAACTTACCTCCAAAAGCAAAATATAACATTGTTATGACACTTAACGATCCGGTGTCAATTTGTAGATAAGGATTAGGTTTGGTTGTTACTAAACTTATGCAGGATGTTATGTCTCCATCATTTGATAGACTCGCAGGAAGATTTCGATCATTAGGATTCTGTTGTGCTGTCTTACGGTAAGCCAAATTATCTGTGAATTAAACAATGTTCATGGTTTGTTAAAATATATCTTTATTGTACCTCATTTTGCAGAGTTTGAAAAGGTTTAAATATCTATACAGCTACATACATACCCAATAAGTTTACTAGTTTAAAGCCTTTCTGCTCGTGATTGTTTGATATTGACAGTGGTGTCACAGCACAACATAATAAAGTGCCAAATCTCCAAAACGTAAAATCAGAAATTTTAAAGATTCGAAAGAGAACTTCTGTCAATATATATAAACAATTACCAATGTTTCATGAAAATTGTTCAAAACATTTTTTAGTTATAGTCAGAAAACTGGAAAATCACCTAATGCTATGTTTTTAAGAATAAAACCACATAACTCAGAGACATAAAATCTAAAATTCATAAAAATCGAAAGGGAGCTTACATCAATAGATATAAACAATTCTCAAAAGTTCATGAAAATTGGTGAAAGCGTATTTGAGTTATTGTCCGAAGTGTGACGACGGACGGACATACGGACAACGATATACCGTAATACGTCCCGTAAATGGGCGTATAAAATAGTAAAAGAGTTGTAAATGCCATTATGGTTTCACTTGACTCATCGTATCGGAATGAAGCACAACAACAATTATGTAAACCTAACGACAAAAAAAAAACCCCACAAAGTACTGATCTAACAGTACTCGCAATTACTAAAAGATAGTTCAAAGCCAATAACAACTAACATATAAATCAAATTCTTAAAGACTTGAATATCAGTTAGCACTAATCCAACGAATTTTGTAAAACATGGTAAAGACCGTCATACGCAATGCATACTTTTTAAATTAAGATTAAATAGAAGAAATAAATAGCAGTCTTCAATGTATGTCTTTTCTGTTATTTCTCCATATCTGTCAATTAATTTTCAATCAAACATATTTTTATTTCTTTATAATATTGCTTAGGCAGTGGTGGAAATGTTCTTCAAATATTTCCGAAATTATTTTCAAAAATCATATATTATCTTGGTAAAAACAATAATACAGTTCGAGGAGGTCTTTGTGGTGTCTATTTCAGGTTAAATATATGGTTTACACAGTGACCATATCGTTTTCTTGGGGAGTACCTGTATATCTGACTTTATCTGCTTTGCTTGAACATTATGACATTATTTAATATTATGTCATGATACATTTGTGGTTAAGTATTCTTATATTAGTTTTAGAATACGCTTTTAACAACAGTTCATAAAGTTTTAAAAAAAGTTACAAAAAACAATTATTAAAAAATCTTTAAAAGTAACAACGATATATTAGAATAACTTATTTGATATGATAAAGATAAATAACATAAGTGAATAAGATTATTTGACTGTTGTAAGCTTTACATCCAGTGGCAAATATTTCATGCATGTTAAGGAGGTGAACAAACTAATAATAGATACAGCCGGTAGGTTCTGTTATAGAGTACTGTTTCGTGCTCAAAAATAATCTTACCGTATGAAATAGTATAAAATAGTGAGATGTCTGTCCCAAGTCAGGAATCTGTAGTTTTTAGTGACTGCTGTACATGTAGGTTGCTGTCTGCCATATTTGTTTTTCGTTTATTGTTTTGCTATAAATCAGGCCGTCGTATCTTTTTTCCTTTGAATTTCACATTTTATCATGTTGGGACCTTTTACAGCTGTCTATACAGTATGGGTTTTGCTCACGTTAAAGGCCGTACGGTGTGACAATAGCTCATATCCACCTTAATTTGACTTTGTTGGAGATTGTCATAATTGCCTCTTTATTTTATATTAAACGACGAAATGTAGTTAGTATGCATTTTCTATTTTGACTTTCAGACACATATTTAATTTGTAACAGTTATCTTTTTTTATAGATTGACAGATGAGTACATTAGTTTGTTTATTCTATATCCTTGTGCACGTATATATATGAAATGTGCAAATGCACGATTTTCCATTTATGATACTAACGTAATTTGAAACTACCTTATAAGTAGCTCTTTATTATAAGTATTCACACCGCCGATCACAGATTGAGTTTAAAATCACGGTGATTAGATTAATGATGCAATTTGCCTTCAACCAGAATCCAATTACATTATTATTTATTTATCATACAATTAAAATTTTAAAACAAATAGTAAGGTGTAATCAGTCTATTTAGTTTGGCCCCTTGTATCCGAAAAAAAAAACATAAATCTATACAAAACAACATCCTTCAGATGATCATATGTCTGTCAGACATCAGTTTTTATATTTTTGAAATTGTTTCTTGCATGTTTGCATTTGGGCTTCAAACTTTTTAGAATTAGTACAAAACTGCTTAAACAGACAAAATAGCCTCATTTTGAGATCTTGTCTGTTAGATATGAGCAACAGATTTACTCAAAAGATAATATACCGCAAAATGTATTTTACACACATGTTAACCTGAAGTTGGTACAATATATTTAATGTAGTAAATCTTTAATTCTTTTATATGTCTCTGAGCGATTCACAGTCTTTCAGTTTTTCTTCAAAATCTTGCCCATGAACCCCATTACTTGATAGTTTATTGGTACATAATTGTCAATAAGCTCAGTTAATTCCTCTAAGCCAATATCTAACAAAGTAGATTTCATGGAAATCACCAACTCGAGCTGTTTGCATGCATAGCTTTTAAATGAACAGACATATATTGATTGATTGATTGTTGGTTGCTTAACGTCCAGTGGCAAATATTTCATGCATATTCAGGACGAGAACAAATTTAACAATAAATACAATAGGTGGGTTCTGTAATAGGGGCTTCCGGGATTAAGGTCGGAGAAATTTAGACTGCCACGGGAAATAAGAGTATATTGGATAGGGACAGAAATTTAGCCTTGCAACAAGTCACCTACGGACCCCTCAAAGAGTTGTTGCAAGGATTCTTAACGTGCAAAGAGCGTGGCACTCACTTTACACGAGGCATCGGATTTAACGTCCCCATTCTGACCGGACGTGGCTACAAATTTTTACATCCCGCACAGCCAAACGGACGCCCCACTTTAGCAAGGGTTTTACTGCCGGTTGGAGGAAGACCAATGGTGACCATACTTCTATTCCCCAGTCACCCTTGGGGGTAACAGACATATACAAAATGTATTTATCCATTTAGATAATTTGATCTATATTTGGATTCGATTCATTTCATTTTCAAATTGACGAACGTTATAAGTATGCTAGTTGCATGTACATATGCATGTGGTAATTATGACTTAACCCAGTCATGCTGATGATTGGTCTTTATTACTGAAAGGGAAGTAGTCCTATATCCTCCTTTAAAAGCTGACTATACTTTTTTTTTTATTAAAGTACCGTGCTTGTTTCTTATGTTATTTTTAGTCTAATCTAATAGATAACATTATTCAGATTTGTATGTTATAGTTTTCGCATCTTTACCAAGAATATCATGAACAGTATATCTATATTTTCAGTATTTTTTTTATAGTCATTTTGATGCAAGGAATATATTCTTTCGTCCCTAGTCCAACCACCTCCCCTATTGAATATTTTGTGTCGAACACTTTTCGCCAAGAAAGACTGGGGAAGCGCAAGAAATGTCAAATCAGAGCTCTTTGTCAATTAAATAATGCGCTATCGGTGATGTGAATACTTATAAGTGGAAGATAATCTAAGATTTTATTGTAGTTTTCAATTATATCGTAGTACATTTAACAGATCTGAGAAACAATTCCCATTTATATACAGAAGTCAATAATGCATGTAATGCATTACCCTATTTCGTAATTTGAAAATTGAAATAATAATGAGTGACTATCAAATATGAAGTAATACATTATGTGAAACCTAACAATAAGAGGAGCCGTATTTGATTTTAGATTTTGTTTGAATATAAAATGCTTACAATGAGTACAGTATCTCCCTGCTCGTCCTTCTAAGCAACCTTTAGTGCAAACACTTGTATTAGTATCGCATGTACCATGGAAACAGCTAGGTAAATGACAACCCCAAACACAAAAGCCATTTTCAGGGTAACAGTCTGTGTTCAAACACTCTACCGGACACGACTTCGTACAGGTTTCCCCCCATCGACCTCTCCAACACCCTAAAAATCAAATATATAGATTGAAAATGTTGGCATATGGATGATTATCAGGGGACAGCAATCCATGCAATAGTAAAACTAACCAACAATTCAAACAAACAGAGTTTCTAGTGCTATTCTTAGTCTCTAATTTTATTGTAATGAAGCTTTTGCGATAAACAGTGATTTGTATAATATATTTTTCCTCGAACTAACCCGCCATATATGAAAAAAAATGCTCGACATGTATCTTATGTATGCCTTTCTCTCTATCAGAAAACTGTTAATCTGGACTCGCAATTGGTTCGAAAAAGGGTAGTCAATTTTTAGCGTAAAGTTTATTGTGTTGTTTTTCTCCTGAACAATTTATTCGGCTGAGTATATACTTCATATACCAAACAAGGCGTAAATACATTGTTGCAATGGCGTTGTCAGCTTATTTTCGACTAATGAGTTTGAATGTCCCTTTTGTATCTGTCACTTCCCTTTTTTGATAGATCAACATCATTTGAAGTTACTTGTAACTATAAAGATTAATTCAATTATCAAAATTTTTGTATTGACAATTATAACAGATAACTGGTTTATGATGATTATAGAAAGTAAAAAAAATTAACTTGTATTTTGAAAGATACTTTACCATATACTTCGATATAGCATAATTCAACAACTGCTTTTGTGACACCATGTCTTCTATTGAAAAAGAAAAACCATGTTGCTGGCAAATGGCAGGTTTTTTCCTGTGTTACATTAGGATGTGCATGTTCTGATTCTCTATAACACAACACTTCACCTGAATTCATGGAACCAACATATGTACCATTTGTAAAATACAAACGGAACCCATCCATATTACTGTTTTCTATAGATATAAATAAGAAAAAGAATGATGATGAGGAGGAGGACGAGGACGGGGACGAGGAGGAGGACGACGACGATGATGATGATGGCGATGACGATGATGATGACGATGATGATGACGACGATGACGACGATGATGACGACGATGATGATGATGATGGAGAATGATGATGATGGTGATGATGACGATGATGGCGATGGCGATGACGATGACGATGATGATGATGATGATGATGATGATGATGATGATGATGATGATGATGATGATGATGATGATGATGATGATGATGATGATGATGATGATGATGATGATGATGATGATGACGATGATGCTGACGATGATGACGATGATGATGATGACGACGATGATGACGATGATGGTGAAGACGATGACGATGATGATGATGATGACGATGATGACGATGACGAGGCATCGATCCAGGTGATTATATTTTTACACCCCGGTCAATTCCTGGAACTGAAAGGATAGATTAATACAGGAGAGTATGCTTAATGTATCATAAAACAGCACAAGTAACTACATTGAAGTATTAACAACAAATAAATAAAGATAAGTGCAATTTCTTTTTAATTTTACTTTTAAAATCAGACTGTGGTAATTAATTTTTAATAGAGCTAAAATCTCACAACACAAAGGTTTATATGTATATATATACATTCTAGTCTGGGTGAATGTGAGAAGTTATTGCTATCTTTACGCGATGTTTTTACTACAAATTGTAAAAACGGTTGTGTGTATGTATGTCTGTGTGTGTGTTTTTATTTTGTTTGGTTTTTGTCGGTTTGCTTTCTTGTTAGTGAATATCCCGTTTTGATGATATCTATTATAGATGTTTTGCTTATCTGCCCTATCCATTGCATTAGGTTTTGCAGTAAATTGTAGTCGAGTATTATACTTTCCCCGCTGATTGTAAGAGATGGTCAGTTGATGACAACATCTTTACCTTCGGATGTTAAGTTTCTATGTCATTAAACAGAGGTTTTGTTGCTGGTAACTATATGTCATTCGATGTATTTGACTGGTTGATCATAGATTGCATAACTCTCCGTAGCAAATATGCCAATGATATTCAAAACGGAAATATATCAAACATTAAAATTATTAAGTGTGTTTCGCAAAATGTGTCGATCATGACAAAAGCAAGGGCTTAACACTGGGAGAGAGTACATGTTGGCTAGGGGCGAAAAGCTTGTTTCGCAATATGCCATCTTGATTGCATTTTCTTTACATTGCACAGATCTAACTATGACACAATGTTACTCAAACATAATACATCGTTATACGGACGTTCCTCCTTTTCCCTGTTAGCACAAGTTTTACAAACTGATGGTAAAGTCTATAATACCATATAATATTCCTTTATCATTAGTCATATAACTATATTGATATCTTATTATGATTGTTTTTTGTTTTTTTGGTAAATTCCTATCAAGTTTTAGATTATTCGTACATAGCTCTTTGTAATTATCGGAGTGAAAGTCTTTAATAGGTTCCATTCAATTTTGACTTAGTTGCTTCCTATTTTGTCGTACAATTGATACTTACTACCACCGCGATAGTATATTTTTATATCTGTAATGAAAGCCATTTCAACAAGTTGTAGACCCCACCATGCCGTCCCTTGCTTTCCAGCTGTAGACGAGCATCCATCGTCCCAATTATTGGTTGCTGGTCCGTCTGTAGCTAGGTGTGCAGGGTAAGACTTCCCACCATCTGTTAACGTTGAATCTTGTAATACTTTGCCTTCTAAAGCAAGGTTTACTGCAATAATAAAATTGAGAATGGAAATGGGGAATGTGTCAAAGAGACAACAACCCGACCATAGAGCAGACAACAGCCGAAGGCCACCAATGGGTCTTCGATGCAGCGAGAAACTCCCGCACCCGGAGGCGTCCTTCAGATTGCCCCTAAACAAATATGTATACTAGTTCAGTGATAATGGAAGTCATACTAAACTCCAAATTATACACAAGAAACTAAAATTAAAAATGATACAAGACTAATGTATTTATTTTATAGTCTTAATTCAATCACACCCTATCAGTACGACAGATACAATAGGTAACACAGACAAAAGTCGGCTAAACTAAGACATCATTCTTTGTATTCCAATTGCAGTCGGAAACGCAGACACAAATCTACGAAACACGACAGCGAAAACAGTTATTGTAAATATTAATCGGAAACATAGATCAGTTGTACCTGCCGTAACGATACGCGGGATAAAAGCCTCAGTCACACATAAGGATTTTAACTGTCGTCCTTGATAGGACCATTTCCGATTAAAATTTGTCAAAATTCGGATCAAGATTCTTTGATTTGTGGCTGGAAATTTGTGAAAACAATTATAAAACCACGACAAAAATCAAATATTGTTCAGGAAGCGTCCCGTTCTAAATCCTATTTGCAATATTTCGCATGGTAAACAAACCAGAATCTGTTCTGACAGCGACCCAATTCTCCCGAATGCGACATGACAGAGATCAGACAGTGGACTGAAACAGAACATTGTTACGATTTTGATCAGATACAGCAGAATCTGTCACGACATAGTCACAACTGTAACCCGACTAGTCAAAATCCAAAATGTTGCCTAACGTACCTACATTTGTTGCAACTCTCGGGGATGCTTGACAGATCTCTCCTGACCATTTCTGATCCATAGGACTCTATTATGCACATATACGACTGCTTTCCGACAATAATAGAACATTCAAAATCATTAAAGATAGTAATCCAACTTTTTCACTTTCGTGTCGTTGTGCTGTATGATCTCAAACGGGAGCCATAATCGGCTATGTGTGAACGCTGCTTTATGATGTGCTAAATACATGATTTACATGTAGTTTCTATCTTATTTGCTTAGTGTCGGATTACTGTTGATTGATTCGTACCCCACACCCATTTGTACTAGATATTGCGAACATGATATATCAACCATATTGGAAAACAACAATAAAGTTTAAATGTTGCGTTTTACAATATCCAAAATGAAACGACACATCCATGATTGCACGTGCTCTCAATGACAATGCATACAATTTCGTAGAAATATTTAAAACAAAACAAACAAAAAGCCTGATTTAACTTGTTTTTTTCCTCTTTTTAGCATTATAATGGTATTAGAAGAATGTATTGTTTTTCTTTCTTTTTTTGTGTATAGGGTTGTTATAGCGCTGACATATATACTGTTTATGTGCTTGATACATAATGTGCTTCTGTCAATTTTTTAAAACTCTAATTAAACCACAAAAAGAAGCATTAAATTCTTTAATCAATTATTTATTATCTGTGACTTTCAAACACGGTAAGGTAATCTTATACCTAACAATCCAAGGAACAAACCTGCTTTCTGGCATGTAGACTTATTTTGTGAAAAGTATTTTTGTCTTTCAAAAGATCCTCTCTTTTCATATATAACTAAAATGTCTTGAAAAACTGAAGTGTTACTATAGAACTTTATCGAAGTGACCAATTTTCCCTTAGTGAGAGTCGTACATTGTACGTCTGTTAAACAGATTTTTATTAGATCAATGATTTTCTTTTAATATAAAGTCCAATGGCATGTTCATGTGTTATATAGAAAAACAAAGCCGCCATGCAAGTATATAAAACATAATATTTAACTTATTTTTTTCAAATTGACGTATCACATGACTTTAAACATCTAGAGATCTTTTTACGGTTCCTCAACTGCTAACAAAATCATTAATACATAACAAACTCTAAATCGCACTTTAAAACATTGACTATATACACTGCCTAAATCGAAGAAAGATAAAATTAGAAATACAATGGCCATAGAAAAAAATGTCGAAACAATATAGAAAAGTATAAAGTTCGTCAAAGAAAACTAAAAAATCCCTCAAAAATTGAACTCTAACTCATATATTCCTGAAAGTAGTTTCTACACCACTAGAGGCATCCGTCGTGTTGCTCGTATCGTGATAAACTAGTGACAATTTGCTTTATTTGAAGTCATAACCGAGGAAAGAGTAATGGGATTGTGGCAAGCCACCGACAACTTGGACGTATCCGTGGTTACCTGCGACACAAACTTTCCATAACAGTTAACTAACGAGATTGATTGATTGGTTGATTGGTGTTTCAGGCTACTTTCAGTACTATTGAGCCGGAGTGCCCGGAGAGAACCATCGACCCACGACAATAGGTTAACAAAATGAATCCTAGTCAATTAACATTGGAGTCTGGCGCACCTGACACTTGTGGATTCAAACTCACAACCTCGGTGTTGACAGACTTGTGAAATAGTAGTTGGGAACCAACGAAATGATGGCATCCTTAAACAAATTTCCTTAAGGATTACTTCGAATTTACCATTAAGAACCTTAAGTTAAATTAAATACCTTCCTGGTCTGCAGCAAATATATTTTGATTTAATTTAACAAAAATTACCGAAAATCGTTCATCAACATCCAATTTAATTTTATTATTCGATTATCATTTAAATATAAAAACGAAGCAATAACAAAAATCTATAAAAAAAAATATGAATAGAACAAAAAACTAGAAAACATATAATTGATAAAGACAAGCAATGATAGGTTTCCTAACTTGTGAAAGACACCACATTTATACACAGTGCACGGTTAAACGATAGTAGTCTATACACAGATGTATTAAGGACCCAAACAACGGTTACAGATGAGACGAAGCAAACGCTTGGTAACCGCTACTGGAATCTTGAATGACAGGAGTCTCCGCCTTATTAAATGGTAGTTTGTTGTAAGTCAAATACGTTATTCATTCATAAACGGAAATCAGGGTTACATGTAATATCAACCACTCCAAAATAAACATCTAGAGGTCACTATGCCACCTTAAAGTGCATTTATTGTATGATAAGCCCTACATCGACCCGACTGTGGACAAAGTCTGTCTAAACCGAATAGATTAATAAATACCTGTCACCATCAACAAAATAAAGAAGAAAACTGGAATTTACACATACCTACAGTGTGCGATCTGGTGACAAAATATTACCTCCCCTGTAAACAGTGCGCTCTTCTGACTAGAGGCGATCGGTAAAGAAAAACGGATGATGCTGTAATTGTTTTGCTTGTTTGAAATGAGCTAGCACAGACGAACTAAGACGTGTCAACATAATGTGAATATGATAATGAACCAGGTATATTATTAATTGTTAAGTTTATCACCTCATCGTATCTTCATATGATAGGTAAATGCGTCAATTTCGATTTTCAGTGTCGTCAGGGTTCAAACTTGTAATCATGCCATCCTTTCATTATTCTTTTTAATACTATCCTTGATTTTCTCCCAATTTGTAAAGTTGATCATGTTGTATGATATATATTTTTATCGGGGGAAAAAATTGATATGCAGCAAAGATTGGCAGTTTTTAATGTGTGTTGCTACGTGAAATAAAGTGAGGTAAATTAAAGTAAAAAGAAGGCGCGCTTTTTCAAATAGTAAACAATTTAATTCAGATGCATGGTATTGTGTCAAATGATAAAGAATATCGTAGAAATTTACTAGAAATTCATCTAATTTATGCAATTTTCATTAAAGATATACAATATGACATACTGAAAGCCGAAAAGGGGTAAAACCACCATACCTTGAACAAATTAGGGAAGGGGGGGGGGGGGGGGGGGGGGGGGATGTCGGGTGAAAATATTACGAAATTTAGATTATTTTTATCTGTGGTAACAACCATTTGATTTTCAGGGGGCATTTCTCTGTTCAAACATTGGTCTAATATTTTCAGGTTCTCTTTGGATTGCCAAATAATATTATTATCACCTAATTGAATGTTCAAATTTTTTTGCAGCGATATTCTGTATGGAAGGAAGACTGTCACAGAATCCAACAGTTCCGGAGGGGCCATTAAACTAACTGCTTAACATCAAGATCGATGTAAGATTCAAGTGCCTGATCCAGTACAAGTTGTAGCTAGTTTTTCCTTGTAATTGTGGCAGAAAAACCACTAGCTCTCAGCTGGGTAATAGACAGTTTCTGGCATTGAAAGGATTCCCAATTTAAACTCCGAAAAGACAAGAGCAAAGAAATGTACATCAATGAGAAACAGTCTCTGTGAATAAAATTATTCCAAAACTTAAATGTGTCATTAGTGTTGCATTATTTATCAGTAGAGATAATTAGATTACAGTAAGATTGCCCAACTGAAGGCTTTTGTCGGTAATGTTTTGTAAATCTTGAAGATTTCTTTCATCAATATTGTTGCCTCCATTGTCAGTAAATTTTAAACCACGTCTTTCAATATTTTGTTTACATGTAAATTCTGAATGCTCATGTTTTAAATTTCTATTGATAAAGAAGATGAAATAAATGAGTTTTCCTTAAGTTTGTGCATTGCTGTTGGACTGTTAAGAGGCCATCTTCTTTGTGTCTTTATTAGGCAGTTTCTTTCAATCCAGCATCGAAGTACGTTTTCATAACAACTGGCTAGGTGATTTTTAGAAAATGCTAGTCACTGAGGGAAAGGAAAGACCCACAAAAGTTCATCTGTATATTCAATTTTGAACATTAACATATCATATATTTTGGCATCAACGACATTTAAAATAAGGCCGCAGTTTAAATTTTAGCCTAAAGTTTCATGACTTTTTTAAGCTATATTGGGACATATTTGACAAGTGTCCGACCATCTCTTTTTTTGTGGAGGACCCTGGGGTTTGACACATTTGCATTCTAAAGAAATGTTACAACTGGGACAGAGACGGTCCAAGAATCATAAGCTATGATTGTCTTGTTACCAACTTAAAAAAAACTCCACAGCTTGTTCATATTATGATACGATCTGGTTGCCGTCTTAATTGCACATTTGGCACACTTGACATTTTTATCAAGGATGGGCTTTTGGTTTCAGTTTGCATGACATTGTAGTTCACAAAGTTTATGACAAAATAAAGATTTAATTTGTTTAATACGACATGCCAAGTTATAGTCCGAGATTACCCTGACGTCCAACGGCTGTTTTGCAAGAGAAGCTGGGGCCGTGCTTGTCTGGGAAAACAGTCGTTGGACGTCAGAGAACTAGCCAAGTTATTCTAAAAAAAGCTCCTCGCATGCTACCCGCCTGATTTACAAACTTTCATCAGAGTCTGAATAGGGGGCAGGGTGCCCGGCCGCCCCTTTCAGTGTGAGACAAATTTGGTTAATTATATACGAAATCACTGAAGCAGGACTGGAGCGGGTCCCCTTTTATGCAGTAAGTGGGCATCCCATTAAGTTTCAACCATTTAACTTCAAAACGGGGGAGGGGGGGGGGGGGTATGTATTTTTTGTCCGAGTCAAACATTTTTCATATATTAATAAATTCAGACTTAACATATACTTTCCTATGTGTAGTGTTTGTATAAAAGTATTACCAACAAAATTCATCAAATTGGGGATCATAATATCTTTAAAGAAAAAACCTATAACCCCCTTTTTTTTAAAGTTAAATGGTCGTTCCCTTAGGAAAATTTCTGAAACTGCCACTATTTATACTTTAATATGCACGTTAAAGATTTCAGATGCGGACTTCTGAATCAACACCTGCAAAAGTTTTCAATTATACAAAAGATAAGAAAAATTTATGCATTTTTAATTTGACTCGGATGGATATTTTTATTTTGCACACACTCCAACATATTACATGAACTGACAATAAACATAAATCAAAGTTAGAGAAATAAGTATATTCATATCAAAGAAATACCAAATAAAAATACTCATCATTTTTGAACAAAGACCAAACTATTGCGTAGTGTGTAAGTATTTCAATTTTTTCTTTTTTTTAACAAATTTGAATATGGAAGATGCGCATACTTGCACATCATAAAAGTGCAAAGTCTGTTCTTTAACACACGTGGTTAATTTGGATCACATGTTTTCTAGTCCTATATTATAAGAATTCGAAGGTTCATATCATTTACATTCAACGTTTTTATGGGATTTTTTTTCACTATCAATGTTGAACCTCGAGGTTACATTAATAGTAAAAAAATCCGATAAAAAACGTTGAATGTAAATGATATGAACCTTTAAAGTCTTATATTATAGGACTCATGTTTTTCAAACATAATATGTTGATCATTTATATTATGATGATTTCAATACACTTCACATTAGGTAATTTGTCACGTATATTGATTACATTATATCGAGTTGTCCCAACGATACACTTATCGGTGTGCTCGATCATACGAATTTACAGACATTGATATAGACAAAATGACCCAACTTTGAAAAATTCTTGTGGCGAAACTACATTTTGGAACACGTTAAACATTGGATCCTCAGAAAGCTACATTATTAAGGTTTGATATATATTTAAAAAAAAAAATAAAAAATATGCAGTCAAAATTGACAGTTTTTTATACACCCTATGTTGTGCAATAAATTGTTCAATTAACAGCATATTTGGCAACTAAAAAATCTGATATCAACAAATTCAGCTTTAAAATATACTTTACTTAGAGTGGTTGTATAAAGGTTATATTATGGTTCTGTGTTTTAAGAAATATTCATCCCTATGCATATCGAGTTTTATGTGTTAATTGTCTTTCTTTATTTTGACCTTTTCTATCTCTTTCATAAGAAGAGTCACTTTTCTATTGTTCTAGTGTCACTGGAAATCCCCCTGCCTATGACAATTTGAGTTAAAGAACAAGTTAATAATCTCCGATTTACAATTTCGGATACTTTACATAGGTAACGAAAAAATGTTTCTATACGTGCAGATTTAATATGAACTTTTTAATATAAAAATATATGATATTTTCCGATTACAAACTAATTTGTATCAATTCACCAAATGCTTATCTAAATACTTATACGGGGTATGTGTCAAAGAGACAACGACCCGAACAAAAAGCATAAAACAGCCCAAGTCCACCAATGGGTCCTCAACGCAGCGATAAAATCCCGCACCAGGAGGCGGGCTTCTGCTGGCTCCTAAACAGTAATGTATACTAGTTTAACGAAATAGACGCCACACTAAACTCCGACACAAATAAATGAACCAAAATTTAAAAAACGCAAGACAAACAAAGGTTAGAGGTTCTTGACATGGGGCAGGCGCAAAAATGCGGCGGGGTTAATAGATATAGGAAGATGTGGTATGAGTGCCAATGAGACAACTCTCCATTCAATTGCAAGTTACAATTTATAAAAGTAAACCATTATAGGTCAAGGTACGGCCTTCAACACGGAGCATTGGCTCACACCGAACAGCAAGCTTTTGCGAGATCTCATCCATTTCCCTATACCTCTAGCCAATGTTGAATAAACAAACACAGAGCAATACGCACAGTAAACTCAGTGTAAAAGAATCCGAGTCCGATGTTAGAACAGGTAATAGAAGAAACTAAGCAAAATGACAATGAACAACATAAATGGACAAAGGACTATTAGCAGTTACTGACATGCCAGGTCCAGACATCAGATTAACTGAACGACAGATTGTCTTCATCATATGAAAATCAAGCACAATCCCTCCCGTTAGGGGTTTACTATCAAGCCATCATAAATTAAACGAGACGAAAATAACCCGCATCATGCCAACAACTAGTTTTAGAATAAATGTGTTTAATTTCGATGCAAAGACCCTATGAGTGAATCAATATTAATTCCCAAAAATGCCATCTTTAATGATTTGACAACAGTATCGTAACTATATTCCCTGTGAATAAGTCTGTGAAAAGGTTTGATTATCTTTTGAGGTGAATGACGACATTGTTTTTCTTTTGGAAAATACTGTGGAGTAGTCCTTAGCTGTATTTGGCAAAACCTTTCGGAATTTTGGGTATATATCATGTATATGCTCTTCAAATTCGTACTTTATGTGGTCTTTTTTAACTTTTTTTTTATTCGGGCGTCTCTAATGCGTCTTTTGAAGACGAAATGCGCGTCTGAAGTACAAATTTTAATCCGAGTATCTATGGTGCGTTTTTTTTTGCCAGGAAATAAATCCAGCCGTTCTCATATCACAAACCAACTACATGTAAAATGACATTCATTTTAAGTTAAATCATTCGTTGTGCTGAAATTCTATTTTAACTTACCAATTTTACTTAAAAGGGAGTTTGGAAAAAGGACTACATATGCTTACTTTGTGCTGTTACTGTTACAATGAAGATCTCTGAGATTATTACGAGCACTTGCATCTGAAATTTAAGAAAAATGAAATATAACATCATTCTTCTGTTAATTTAAGATGAAATATGCTATACAGAAAAAAAAAGTGTTATCATCACAGCACTTCGAATGCAATTCTGAAAATTGTTAATGTTTTTTCGAATGACCATTCGAACATTTATTTCTTTTGGCGATGCTTAAGTTGTTATGGTCCATACCATTTCTGAATCATCAATATTAAAAAAAAAAAAATTAAAATTGAACTAAAATCGAAATCCTTTTTTTTTCATTCTGAAACCTCTCTTTTTATTGCATTTTAGTAACACATTTACACACATGAGTAAAATATTCTATCGTATGGTACATGTATGCAGGCCAGCCTCCAGGAGAAAAAACAGATTTTGTGGGATCTAAAAATGATCTGTAAACAGAGCATTACACCCTAAGTAAATAAATATGTGCAAAAAGAATTATCCTGACTACCAATGGGTAAAATGGAAAGATATAGATATAAGAAGATGTGGTATGAATGCCAATGAGACAACTCTCCATCCAACATATAACCAAGATTCCTGAAAGTGGCGTTAAAAACCAATAAGCAATCATCAGTCAAAAGGTATTTTTTTTATATTTGTGTAAGGAATATGATAATTCAACAGAAGTGTCGCCTTATTTTAGAAATCTTGATTATAATATTATGGAAAATGTCGAAAAAGATCTAGTAAATTTCAGAAAACAAGGTTATATTTTGGTCTTTGGTGACCTTATGCATGAGTATCCTCCATTCAAGTAAACAATGGCAGTCCGATTGTAGCAGAATATATTGTGAGAATCTGACGTATAATATATTGTTTAGGATAATCACCGACATAATTGTGTAGTCAACTGTGCTACATGTGGCTTTGTTTCGTGTAAAACATATATTTGATTTAACCAAATTTAGAATTTGAAAATGTTAAAAAAAAACCAATCAAGTTTCCATTTGCATGCATTTAGCTTGAGGGACCAAATTTGGCCTGATTGCAAATAGAAAACAAGTTATATTTAAAAACAAAAGTGACAAAGTTAAAAATAGGGGAAAATAGTCCGGTATTCTCTTTTCCTCTATTTTGTAACTAGTATACTATGCTCCAGTATTTTGCCCCAATATAGTAAAAAAAATAATATTATGAATTTAGGAAAAATAGCTCGGTTTTCTTTCTTTGTTGAAATTTCTGTTAAATATATCTTTATCATCAACAGCCAAAAATACCACAGATAACAACTATCACAGAACGACACAAAATAAAAACAGGACAATATACCAACAGATGACACACCAATAGGACTATACACCAATAAGACGACACACCAATAAGCCTAGGGTGACACATCGGAAAGACGACGACATGCCGACAGGAAGACAAACCGACAGAAAGACAGTCCTACATGCCAGCTGGTTGACACATAAACATGCCAACAGACAAACACAACAAAAAATAGACATACAGAATCAAGTCGACATTATAACACTGCGAGAGACTGACACAACTACAGGACGACACACCGAAAGGTCGACAAGGATAATTTAATCAAATAAAACAGATTAACAATTGACCTGATGATATTTACAGAACAAAAAAGACTTGGCATCCTAAAATTGATACTCTAAAATGTTGCTAATTGAGACTTTGGTTGGGATGAAACATCTTTGAATAAAGACAAATAATGTTTTGTAACAAGTGTAAGATCTGCCATTTTCAGAACAGCATTATTACATGTATTATGATTTCCAAGATTCTAGTCTATAATGCGTTAAGGAATTTGGAAACAAAATGTTGCTCTTTAATTGTCCATTCATTGTGCAAGTACGGAGTACTTCAAAATCATCTCTTGTTCTTTCATCCATCACAAGTTCACTATCAAGAGTTCACTTTTCTCAATCCGTCGCTGGAAAAATCGTAGCAGGATTTTCCGATTTGATTCCTTTAATCTTCAATATGTAAAATCGATACTTGCATTATTTTAACTGCAATTCTGCAGAACTATCGAATTTTTGACCTGTATGTCTGTTGTCTAGTCGTCTTTTGGATCTTTAAAAAAATACTTTAAGCAATTGATTTCAAACTTATGAACAATCATTCATTCGAACATTGCTGTTCGGTGTGAGCCAAGGCTCCGTGTTGAAGACCGTACTTTGACCTATAATGGTTTACTTTTATAAATTTTGACTTGGATGGAGAGTTGTCTCATTGACAGTCATACCACATCTTCTTATATCTACTCAGCATGTCGACCTGTTGGTTTGTTAGCATGCAGCGGAACAAACAAATACTGGCAAGGCTGCATGCATAAACCGATTTACTGATTATATCATCCACATTACACTCTTTAATTCCTCATTTTATAACCAATTTCTTCCATTTATGACCTATTTGAGTCTTAATTTTTTACTTGAACCTGTTAAACAAATCTTCTTAACAGTTGTGTGGCATGCTTTAATCGTCAAATAGATTGCCAAGTTGAAAAGAAAATATAGTATTTTGCATTTTTTTTTTTTTTGCGTCTGTCGCTTGATGTCTGTTTAAACATATGTCCACGGAAATTCGAAGCTACAGTCGTGAGAGTCAAACGATATCAAACACAATAACTCTGATTGTGCTTGATTTCAGATTTTTTTACCCTTTACACTTATCGATCGGAATATGTTTGTTACCCCTCTCGCGTATATTTTTACCAAAAGGGTCGAAACAGAATAGCCGAAAGATAGATTGTGTCTGAGAGAGTAGCAATATTAGGCTTGTTTTAAATACTTGTACATGAATACAAGTGTATGTGCAATAAGTTCATTTTCAAACTTTGAATTGACTGACGATGAACTGTCAGCCCTTACATCAGTAGACTAAACTAACGTTTGTTTTTATACTTAATCTACGGAATTTTTGTAAATACACGTAGCAGACTCTAGGATATCAATAGGTATGTCTCCGATAAAATCGTAAAAAAGATCAGCAATACAGAAAAGAACGAGGCACATGTATTTTTCCCAGAAAAAATGTTCTTAAAAATACAACTGTAAAACTGGATAATGTTATATATTCAGTACTATGTCCAAACTATCTAACTATTTTTTGTAGAATCAACATGCGTACCGATAAGGACACTGAGCACATTTAAATATATTTCAATTAAGTTTAAATAAAAATTAGTCATTATCCTTTTGACATGTTTTTTTTCGGTCAAAATAATTCAACCTAAACTAGTAAGAGGGAATATTTTCTTAAAGCAATAAAGTACTGAAAATTCAAAACTGGAAAAGAACCTAATTTAAATTGAAATGCATTATTATATCAGAAAATATAACCATGCTTTAAGTTATATTTTAGAAATATATTAATGATGATACGCGTACGTACAGACGGTTTTTTGTTAACTTAAGGGGAATAACCAAAGGTACGTGAATCTGAAGAGAGATATATAAATCTATTAATTTCTTGATTGTTTGTTGCTCAATGTCTAGTGGCAAATATTTCATGCATATTCAGGACGATCTTTCAAATAGAAGTTTTTCTTTAGAGTCATTCAAAGATTATGTGCAAAATTTAAGAAATACATACAATTATTTCATATGAACAGAATAATGTTTTCTTCCGGTATAGACCTTACAACTCATACAACTAAATTTTAACAATAAAGATGTCATATTTTTTATATAAAGAAGACTTTGACGTAAACTTTTGACACCTACCGGTCCATTGCATAAATTCAATACACATATTCATAACGGTTTACAAAATGTGATTGTGCTTTACTAGGATGCATGCGCACCTGTCTTTGTTATTAAACACATGCATTGATTCTTTTATCTTTATCTTAATTCTATTAAACGATTTTAAGTAAGTAAAAGTAAATATATTCTTTAAATATTCTTATTCCAAAATATAGATTAAAGACCCTTTTACACGCATGAGAATGTAAAACTCAAAGGAAATGAGGTATGTCCAAGACACGATGTAGTTTCGATATCGACGGCATCCACGATAACGAGTCGATATCGAATAGTTATTATCTAAATGTCTATCTGCTACAGTTATCTATATAGACAATTTAGTTTCTCCTGGTTTGTCTGTTTTAAGATGTCGATATCGACGATATTGTTCCAAATGTTTATCTGTTTTTACGTTATTAATATAGACAATTATAGTTTTTCCCAGTTCGTCTGTTTAAGATGTCGATATCGACGATATCGACGACATCAAGTCGATATCGACAAATTATGTTACATATTTCTTTCTTCTACATTTACCTTTATAGACAATTTAGTTTCTCCTGGTTCGTCTGTTGTAAGATGTCGATATCGACGATATCGATGACATCGAGTCCGAGTCGATATCGACACATAATGTTCCAAATGTCTATCTGCTACAGTTATCTGTATAGACAATTTAGTTTCTCCTGGTTCAGCTGTTTAATATGTCGACGATTTCAATTCCATATCAACATTTAAACACTTTCTTCATAATTTGTTTCTCTATTCATTTCGTTTAGTTTAGTATACCATTAAGATAAGAGGATGTTGTACGATTTCCAATCAGACAACAGACCACCAAACACAAAAAGGATGAGGATGTTAACAACTATACGTCACCGTACAGTCTTCAACAAAGATTAACACTAATACCGGCATGAAAAAATGTCAAATTTTTCAAATGGGAAAACAAACATTCTGATCTATGTATAAATGATAAACAAAAATCAAATATGACAGACATCAACCAACGGCAACCACTTAATGACAGAGCTCCCGAGAAGGGTCAGTCACACTGAGGATGTGGCGGGGTTAAACTTGAGCGTTAACCCCTTCCCTTAAATCTAGGACGGTAGTTTAGCATTAATACATAAATACAAAATGTAAAATTCAGAAGCAAAAGGCTTGACTTATCAAATCAGCACGAAGAACAACAATAAATAGACAAAATCACAAAGTACCGGTCTAAGAGTACTCGAAACTATTCAAATCAAGTTAAAATCTAATTTCAACGAAAAAATA